TCCAATCATACAAAATACATTTAAAAATTCATCTATGAACCTAACATTAACTAAAACTGAAGTTGAAAATGTACGAGAATATCTTAGACAGCAGGATATCATTAACAAATATCATGTTGGTAAAACGAACCACCGGGGCATTAACGAATGTCATTTAGCTCTATCTCATAAGTATTTCTGGCCAAAAATGAAAGAAAATATTACTAAATTCATAAATGAATGTACAGTATGCGGACAAGCGAAATATGATCGTAACCCTTTAAGCCAACAATTAAGGGTTGTTCCGCCTGCTTCTAAACCTTTTGAACTAGTACATCTGGATATATTAACAATTCATAGTGAAAAGTTCCTAACAATAGTTGACTCATTTTCAAAATACGCACAGGCCTATTACTTAAGGGATGGAACTGCAATAAGTGTCGTGCAAGCATTACTTAACTTCTGCACACAGCATGGCATGCCACTAACAATAGTCACGGATAATGGCACAGAGTTTACTAATCAACTTTTAGCAGAATTTGTGAGGCTTCATAAAATTCAGCATCGTAAAGTAGCACCTCACGCATCTAACGAAAATGGTATAGTTGAAAGGTTTCACTCGACTATACTAGAACATTTTCGTTTATTAAAAGTTAATCAAAAGTCGGAATCAGCAACCAATTTGATGCCCTATGCACTTGTAGCTTATAATAGCAGTATACACAGTTTTACAAAATGCAAACCCATTGAAGTCATAACGGGACACTTTGACCCTCGAGATCCTTGATTTGATCTTGATTTGATCCTTGAGATTGATTTAGATATCTCGTCGCAGTTATTACAACAATACATGGTTAATCACAAAGACAAAATGACTCTCACCTATAATCTGATACATGACCTTTCTAAGACTCATCGAAGAGAATTGACTGATAATATTAATAGAAATCGGGAACCTGAATCTAGTTATTCCCCGGAACAACAGGTTTTTATTAGAAACCCGATTTCTTCCCGTCAAAAGCTAGCCCCCCGATACACTCAAGACGTTGTCATGACAGACCTACCTATTCATATTTACACAAAGAAAAAACGAGGTCTTATTGCAAAAAATAGGTTAAAAAGAGTCCCTAAATCCGCCTAATTGTTGCAGGATGATCCCGATCCTCCTTCTTTGTCTGCAAACATCGCTAATGCAAGAAATAAGGCTTGAATCTCTTGACGACGGACCGGGTATTCTACCATTTAAACTAGGAGCAGCTAGAATGATATCCCACTACCATTCCTTTTTAAAATATATTAACCTTCAAGATATAAAAGATAAAATAGAATCAGTTAATAATCAGCTAGATAGTATAAGCCCTGAATTACATAATAAAACTAGTTCGTTATTTGAACCTCATTAATTACCTTAAAAATAAGCTTGATTGTGAGAAAGTGTGATTGTGTGTTATTGTGAGAATTAGAACAGTTACAGACATTTGAGAGTAATCGTGTTAAAAGAGGACTGATAGATGGACTTGGGTCTGTTATAAAGAGTATAACAGGTAATCTTGATTTTACAGACGCATTGCACTATAATCAGGCTATTTAATCTTTACAGGATAATGAAAATAAGCTAGCCATTGAATTAAATAATCATGTTAGTCTATCTAAGAATTGGACTTCTCAATATTCAAAAGTGTTAGATAATATAGTAGAAAATCAAGATAAAATAAACATATTAGTTAGCGAAGTAACTCGAAATAATGAGTACAAAGTACAAAGTATGCACACCTGGCTCAAGTACTTACAATATTAAGCGACAATGTAGATTCCACATATCAAGAACTGCTTAGGTTACAAAATGTATTGGCTTTCGTTAGAACTTCCACAATGCATCATTCAATATTAAATGTATCTGCGATACGAGCTATAATTACGAAGTTAAGCAAGTTATACGGTAGTGAAAGGGTAGTAGAAATAGATTTTAAGGAATAATTTGATATAATTAGATTATGTAAGTAATCAGATAGTGATAGTATATAAATTTCCTATAGTTTTACGCCCCATATATGATATGTATAAATTATCCATCATCCCGAATAAAAACAATGAAATCCTTACTCCACCCCTTCCATTCCTTGCCCTCTTTGAGGAAGATTACAAGTACATAGAGGCTGAATGCCGAAGACCAGTAAATGGTACCTATGCAAAGAGAAGCAGATTTTGCCTATTCATAAACCATCGGACTGCATCCAGCAACTTATCATCACGCAGCAAAGAACGTCGAGTTGCAGCCCCACTTCAGTGCTACTAACCAGGTCGGCTTATGAGGAGCTAGATGAGAAACACTACGCTGTTAGTTTCCCTACTTCAACGAAGGTTCACCTATCTTGTGCTCAAGACTTCTATAAGAATCTGCAGGGTAGCTATCTTGCTATTATACCACATCAATGCTACTTAGAAACACCTGACTTCACCATTTCAAATAGCAACAATCATCTGAAAGGACAAGCACTGAACATCATAGATCTGCCTACTACTACCAAAAAGACGCCGCCCACAAATCCCTTACTGAAGTTAAACTCAATCAAATTAGATCACCTACATCAAATGAATATGAAGGTCGCTATGCAAACGCCGGTACAGCTGACTGACGTTACCGACTACAGCTTATATCACACTACGATACCAATGTACCTAGTGTTGGTAAGTGCAGGAGTCCTTATTAGTGGCCTCTGCTATCGTAAGTACTTCACGAAGCAGACACAGAACTCACCTGAAGAACCGAAAGAAGAACAACATGAACTTCAAGCAACCTATGCCCTTCCATCCGTTGAAAGGGTTGATATTAATCAACCCCCAGCTCAATTTACGACGAGAGTCTTCAATAGTCGCTGTTCTACGGGGGGAGGTGTTACGCAACCCTAATACATGGAAACTGCCTCACGTCGATCACCAACATCGCATTTCGTTCGTATGAACTTTTATTGTTAAAGACTTTGTTTCGCAACCATAATGCATGGGAACCACCTCGCGAGTCACGTCGACCACCAATATCGCATTCTTTTCGTATTTCAACATAACTCTCGCGAAGTGACAGTGTTGTAACATCCGAGTGCACCTTATTGTTAGAGACTTTCTTGATTCATTCCCTTTGTCATACTTCGACAGGATACCTTAGGATAATTAGTTTGTAAAAGTAATATTAAAGAATTTTATAAGTAAAGTTTTCATTTCATTTGCATCCTCTGACTGTGATTTCTATAATTAGCCACTAAAAAAAAAAATTATAATAAGTGATGACAATATGTTCTGGTGTATAAAATTACGAGATATTCTTTGGTAAGTAGTATAAGTATATTTGTGTATATTAAAACAAATATGCATTACATCTATATGATGTCCATACAGTAATGTATTGGGTATAATTATTCCTAACTGTTATGTATGGTATGTATGTATGGTGTAATTATGGTTACAGATTCAAGAGAAAAGAAGGGAAGATATACGAACCCACTCTACTGGAAGGGTAGAAAGTAGCAGAAACAATAAAATTCGTCTAACACTATGAATTATTTGTATCAAGTGTAAAATAAAAATGTTTATTACAAATGCGTATTTTATTACCATGTAAATAAAACATTAATTTAAAAACTAATGTCTATTGCATCACAATATTTGGAAAATATATTGTCGCTTGCTATAGCTCTATCTATCTATTCTCGTAACTGCTTATTTCTTTCTTACAGGACAATTGTCTGTTACATAAATTATTATTTAAAGGCATATAATGTATAGTTTCAGCATAACTCTGTGAGTTTAAATATGTTCCAATAGTGCAATTTCTTGTTCTAGTATATATCTAGCAGAACAGTGCTTTTGGGTGTCATCCTTTACACGTATTTTCACTTGGTTTGATTCTTCAATAACATTAAAAAATCGCAGGCGAACCGTAACAATAAAAAATGTCATTTATGTAGATAAATATCCACACTCGATCCAAAAAAGTACCTTTTTCGCTATCGTCAAATTTGACATAAGATTGATCCTAAAACTCGATACCAAAGCTGTCCGAATGAGTGGGGAGTACGACTTTTCGATCGTAACGGCCGTTCTCGATTGTAGTTAGTTCCAATTTGAACCACTACACGATCGTGCGCTGATGTCAATTTCAAGAGTACGAATCTTAACCAAATCGAATCAAACTCGATTGATTCAGAACTCGAAGCTGTCGGGAGTAAGCCGGCAGTTTACTAGCGAGATTTTCAAAAACTATTGTAAAGAATGTGGCATCAGTTTATATAATTCAGTCCCGTATTGGCCTCGAATGGGGAAGTTGAGAGGCAAAATCGAGACGTTTTAAAGCGTCTGAAAATTAGCCAAGCTGAAAACAGGGACTGGAAAGAGGACATCTTCAATTATTTAATAATGTATAATAATACTCCTCACTCTATTACAGGCAAATCTCCCTCGGAATTATTCTATAAAAGGCACTTTAGAGACAAAATCCCGGCAGTACCAGATATGGAATACAAAACAATAGATGAAGAAGTGAGAGACAGAGATCTGCAAAATAAGGAAAAAGGGAAGGAGTATGGGGACCTCAAAAGGAAAGCCACAGATAACAACTTGGAAATAGGAGAAAAAGTATTGGTGAAAAATGTGATCAAAGATAATAAGTTGAGCTCCAATTTCAATCCTACTACGCATACAGTAACAGATGTGAGTGGCGGTGATGTCAGTGTTCGGAATGATGAAACCGGGAAGGAATGTCGACGAAATGTAGTTCATTTAAAGAAAGTGAATGATACATGGACTGTGGTTAACCAAAATAGTAGTAATAATGATTTAGGGGAAAATGATTAACTAGCCTAAATTCTTTGTTGATTGATATACATGTTATTTAATCGATGTTTACTGTTATGAACTACATTTATAGGTTTAATATACCGATATAAGATTAAGTAAAATCAAGGCTGTTCATTTAAATTTTGTGCATAATCTATAATAATAATATTTAAAACAAAAAGTGTAAAAAAATGGCATCCCGAAGAAAAATCAGCATACTTTGGAACCATTTTGTAGAAGAAAGGTCGTCAAAAAAAGGAAAATGCAATTATTGTTCCGAAAAGATTTCTTTTACATGCGGCAGCTTAGGTAATTTGACTAAGCATTTAAAAAGTAAACATCCAACCATATCTACAGCACCAGTGGAACGACAATTAACTGTTGATGATGATAATGTTAGCGCTGAATCTGTCCATCCTCGGCTTCCTTGCACAAATATTGAGCACGAGCAACATTACGAGCCTCAATATATTATATCAGTTAATTCAAATGCCGCATCGTCATCTGTCTGCGCAGTGCAAAAACGAGCTGTACAACCCAGCATGGACGGGTTTATTCAAAGTTTAGTAGAGGAAATACAAGTGGATACGAAAACACCGAAGAGGAAACCACTGCTACTGGATCTGGAGAATACGCCCAAGAAGAAGAAGACATTATTATCGTTGACCAAAACGAATCAGACGGAGACGACTTCATCGAGGACCCAAGAGACAGGCAACAGCAGCAATCTTGCTCCGTTATTTCATGCCCAACTACTGAAAAAAATGGTATCGATTATGCGGCACTATGCGAAGTCTATGCGAAGTATGCGAAGTCCTTGCTGGTTTACTTGAGTATCTGTCTCCCAATGCTGATCGTGAAGAATTTAGAAATATTCTCACCGAAGAAGATAAAAGAACTCTCCGATGCGTCACTCATTCGTTGGAAATTGGCGTCCAAAGCAAACAAAAAAATAACAACCCTAACACTTCGAATCCCTAAAGGGGAGATATTGTACCTGGCGAACAAAGCGCAACACTGCGTGAAATTGACAACAAGGTGGTGGAGAGCGATAGTGAAACCGATGAAATATTACCTAGTTTGGGACAAATCAGACGAATGAAGACTGAACAAATACAGCCAAGCACTGATTTACAACACGGACACGATTACGAGTACGGAGTGCCTAAAAGCGGACGATTAAGAGAATATTGTCAGGCAAATAACAATCTGGGGTTACAGTTATGTGAACAAAGAGCTTTTGACGAAGCCGAAGCTCAAAGAGTATTATGTGCAACGCCTGAAGGGATTGCCATCCAATTTACCAAAAAAATTTGGAGAGAGGATCCGAACAGCAATTCCAAGATCCAGAATTCTGGTATTTCAAGAAGAACCAGACAAGAGAATCGAAAGATGCAAGAGACTACAGCTAAAAAACAACCGTAACATATGGAATCCTAAAAATGTTGAGAAAATTTTGAACAAATTCGAAACTTTCTAATGTCAAACGGCTTCTACCTTCAAGAATTTGCAACAATTACAGAAAAACACTTTTATGGGCAAACAAATAAAAAAAATAATCTTTTCTTCCTCGGCCCACCTAGTACGGGAAAAACAATGATGATAAAACTCGTACAAATGCTCTATAATTATGAAAGACTAACAGGCTTAACTCCAGGTTCTTCGTTTAACTTCTGTTCGCTGATACACACAAATGCGTGTTTCATGGACGAATGTAAATTAACTGAAACACAATTTGAACAATGGAAACTATTGACGGCAGGGCAACCTATGGCAACAGACGTAAAATACAAAAATAGACATACTATCCAAAATTGCAGACTCTACACGGCAAGTAATTATTCAATTGAATTGTACACAAACGTACCAGACGCGTATGACGCGATAAAATCAAGAACATTCACATTCAAATTTCGACATCAGGTAGAAGAATACATCTTCGTGAATTCGCATTCGCATTTGTATGGGAAGAATTCTGGCAAAATCTGGTAATAAACACGACGTTCAGAACTACAGGCCAATTTCTAAATTATGTATATTAGGTAAAATTTTTGAAAAGATTGTGTACGATTGCATATTTCCCAATTTAAGACCGTTTTTGATTAACGAACAGCATGGATTTGTAAATAAAAAATCAACCGAAGGAAATCTCGTTGAATTAGTCCATCGCCTTACTGCTTCCATGGACCAGGGTCACCAGGTAGATGTAGTCTATACCGATTTCGCGAAAGCGTTCGACAAGGTTCCCCATCATGTTCTTATTCAAAAACTTGCAGGGATGGGTATACACGGAGATCTGCTACGCTGAATAACCTTATATCTTCGGGAGAGAAGTCAGGCTGTTACTATTAAAGGCCATACGTCATCTTTCGTGCCTGTTTCCTCTGGTGTTCCTCAGGGTTCTCATCTGGGACCATTGCTTTTTAACATATTCCTGAACGAAATTAAGGTTGTCTTTAAGAATAGTTCATTTCTTCTTTATGCTGATGATTTGAAAATTATTAGAAAAATCTCATGTCTCTCAGATAGCGCTCTACTACAGGAAGACTTAGACAGACTTTACTCATATTGTTCTAATAATTATCTACATCTGAATATTAGGAAGTGTTCCGTTATTTCTTTCTCTAGGAAGTTTTCTACCTTAGATTTCCCATATACACTTGGTTGTGAAGTATTAACGCGAGTTACTGAAGTGCGTGATCTGGGTATAATTATAGATAGCAAATTGTTGTTCAAATACCACATAAATCAAATGACTTCCAAAGCGTTTAAAATGCATACTTAGAGTGAGTAAGGACTTTAGGAATATTTCTACAATGCTTTTACTGTATAATACCTTGGTTCGTTCGATTCTGGATTATGGATCAATAATATGGAACCCCAACCGTAAAACTTACATTGAGTAAATCGAGAGGGTCCAGTTTAAAGCCATAAAATCATTCATTAAATAGAAGTTGTGCCCAGTACAATAAACTTTTTATAAACAATGACATATTTCATCTCTCTCTTAACAAATTCAATTTTGATGTGATGTACAACTTAAATAATGTTAGCTGTGATTGATTTTATTATTTATTGTTGTGGACGACGAACGACGACGAGCCCCGAAGAGTTCCGACCACCCCGAAGGCGAACGTAGTATATGTCCCTTCCTTTTAAATCCCGGAAAATGTAATGTACGCGCAAAAGTAGTCACACCCCTTGTATTGTATAGATCCACCAATTAGGTTAAGGTATTCATGTTAACTCATTGAGTGTATCTATTGCGAGTGTAAATATTGGAATAAATATAAGGGATTTTTTGTGTAATGTGGAGCCGAGGGCAAATTCGCTCTTCGCGCGCCGACCCGAGCGGACGTGTCTATGCCCGCTGCCAGGACGCTGCTACGTAGTGCGACTGTTGCTGCCCGCTGCCGTTACCGGCGGCTGTAATTTCCGAAGAAGGATCAGGGTAATATACCTGGGAGGTAAGTGGAGTGCTGTTTATACTCAACCTACGCTTCTCACCAGAGGCGAGGACTTAGAATCCGCTACTCACCCCCCCTGCCCCGCGGCAAGGGGGACGTTAGGAAGTGTTAGTTTTAAGGTGTTAGTGTTTAAGTTTAGCCCGCGAGTGGGGGTCCAGAGAAGATGGACCCCAAAAACGCAAGTTCGGAGGCCCTTCTGGCCTTCGTACCCCGGGAGATCGTTTCGCAGAGCGCAAACCCCGTATTATCGAGCGTAGAGGCGTCGCCCCGCTCCTGCCCGACTGTGTCGGAGTCCGGCCGTTCTTCGCCGGCTCCCAGTGTAGCTTCCCGGATGGAAGCAGAGTCCGCAGCCGAGTCTGGACCCGAGTCCAGCTCGGAAGTTTCTGAGGACGACGGATTCGAGACCGTCGTCTCAAAAAAGCGCAAGGGGAAGCGCGTTAAGACGTCGCCCCCAGTTAAGCGAGCGTCGCTAGCGTCACCGACGCGCCCAGTTCGCGCCAAAACCGTCGCGTCACCGGCGACGTCACACGCGCCGATGGCGTCATCGCCCCGGCCGCGCCCGAAGCGCGCAAAATAAAACCCCCGCCTGTAATTTTACAGGATAAGTCTGCCTGGGACAGCGTCTCCGCGTGGATGCTTGCCCAGAAAGTTAACTTCACGTCGGCGAAGTCTATGCCGCACGGAATTAAAATTCAGCTAGGGTCGCCTAACGACCACCGCTCGTTAACCGCTCACTTAAGAGCGAAAAACATTAGCTTTCATACATACGCTCTGGAAGACGAGCGCCGTCTGCGCGTCGTCATCAAGGGCGTACCCAAAGAACTCAGCTGCGAATATGTCGCGAGCGACCTTAAGTCGCAGGCATACCCGGTTCGCGAAGTCCACCGCATGTACGGTGGAAAAAATAAAGCACCATTCGACATGGTGCTCGTGATTCTCGACCTCTCGCCGGAGGGGAAGAAAATATTCAACATAAAATCCGTTGGCCGACTCACAGGCATTGAAGTAGTGCCACCGTACGCGCGTGGCGAAATAGGACAGTGTCATCGCTGTCAGCTATACGGCCACTCGGCGAGAAACTGCTTCGCGCGCCCGAGGTGCGTGAAATGCCTCGACGACCACGCGACCGTGGATTGTCCGCGCAAGGTCCCGGACCCCAATGTGCCGCCCAGCTGCGTTCTGTGTGAGACCCAGGGGCATCCCGCGAATTACCGCGGGTGCTCCCGGGCCCCACGCAGGCGTAAGCTTACACTTAAGGGAGCGAAAAAAGAGAGGGCTTCGAGGCCCCCCCGCCATACACAGCAGGCACCCAGGGAGACCTCAGCACCCCGGGTGTTCGTGCCCGCGCCTGCCCCGACCACGAACGCGTGGTTTAAAGCAGCCGCTTCCCCCGCGCCGCATCCGGCAACCCCGGCCCCGGTAACGCGCCCGACGCCAGCCCCTAGGCCCGCGCCGCAACCGACGCAGGCGCCGCGACCGGCGCAAGCGCCTGCTCCGCGCTCAGTCCCGGCCCAACAGCCCGCGCTGCTCCCGCCCAGGGCTCGCGTAGCTCCCGCGATGCCGGCGAGTCAGTCCCTGGCCTCTGACCTCTCAGTGGTCATGGACTTCGTCGATTCTTTCGACATTCGCGAACTTAGCATTTTCGCGAACAAAATACGTGCAACGAATGGCGCCCCTCAGGCGCGCATGCAGGCCGCGTTCGAACACGCAGGCCTTATAGAAGCGATCACGAGCTTCCAAGCCCCCGCATATTAACTTTCTAATGGCGGCAAACAATACAATAATTCGTACAACCGATTCGCGGCTAGGGCGTACAAAACCCCGTGGTATTACTATCTGCACGTACAATGCGAATAACATTAAAACTCATATAGAATTAGTTCGCGATTTCACATCAAATTATAGTATAGACGTTCTCTGCGTACAAGAGACGCTCTTAAAACCGGCCACGCGCGATCCGAATATCGCGAATTACAGATTGATTAGGAATGACAGAACCGCCAACAGGGGAGGCGGAACTCTCATTTATATAAAGGAAACTTTACACTGCGTCCCCTTAGAACCGCCGCCACTAGCGAACATCGAAGCGTCGGTATGTCAGGTTCATATGACGGGCCATCAGCCGATCATAATAGCATCCGTATATCTCTCGCCCAACAAAGCAGTGCTAGAGAGCGACATTAGGGCGCTACTCGACATGGGAGACTCGGTCATTTTGACCGGGGATCTCAACTGCAAAAACACGCGCTGGCACTCATCGCGCATTAACCCCAAGGGTCGAGTGCTCGACGAGTTAGCCAGCCACCCATCCCTTAACTTCGAAGTAATAGGCCCACTGACGCCCACTCGTTTTGGCCACTCTGGCACACCTGAGGTACTAGACATAGTGATTCTAAGGAACGTAGCCTTGCGACTGCGTTCCGTGGAATCGTTATCCGAGTTAGATTCAGATCACAGGCCAGTAATCGTTAAATTAGGACACGACCGCCCTTCAGGCCCACTGACTAGAAAAATTGTAGATTGGAAGAAGTTCGCTGAGCTTCTTCGGTCACAAGATTCACCACTACATGATGATATACCAGACATTATCGAATCCGCCGACCTCGCGAAGGCGGCGGCCAGTAAATTCACCGACTTCGTTAACAACACCGTAGAGGATTGCTCTCGCGTCATAACAGTGCCCCCGGACGGGCGATTCAAGGTCCTGCGCGACCTAAAGAATTTAATAAGACGCAAGAACGCAGCTAATAGAGCCCACGACTCATACCCGTGTGCGAGAAATCGCAGTGCGCTAAATAATCTCAAGAGACAAGTTAGGGCTAGATTCGACGAGTTGAGAGGGCATTCGTGGGATAGGCTTCTCGAGGAGCTCGAGCCGTCGTCCCAGGCTTTCTGGGCGCTGTCTAGGGCCTTTAGAGACGAGTCTCTCCACGATGCCCCCTCTGATAAAACCAGACAACTCTCTCGCGTCAGACGATTCAGAGAAAGCAGAATGTCTTGCAGATAGTATAGAATCGCAATGCTCGCCCAGCACTCAACCGTGTGACCCGGGTCACGTCCGCGCGATAGACTCGGAGGTCGCAGCATGGGCCGCCATGCCTCCCTCGGGCGAACCGCTTCGCCCGACGTCGTACGACGAAGTGACGTCGGTAATTAAAGGACTAAACCCTAAGAAGGCCCCGGGGCCAGATCGAATAAATAATAAAATAATTAAATCCCTACCGAGACAGTTCGTATCCCTTCTAGTTACCATATTCAATGCCCTGTTGCTATGCTGCTCCTTCCCAGACGAGTGGAAAGAAGCCGTAGTGATAAGTATTCGCAAGCCGGGTAAACCTAGCAACATGCCCGCCAGTTACCGCCCTATAAGTCTCATAAGCGCGCTAGTCAAAGTTTATGAAAAACTCATATTAAAAAAAAAAAAATAAAATAAAAATAGTTTTTATTGCTTAATCATTTATAACATTTTTTGTGTTCGAGTCTTCCCAGTAAGTAATCCGGAGGATACTTGTGTTGGGAATGGCCCGCTTCTTCCCATATGCATAATCTATGATTAAGTTAGGATTATTGCATGTACAGTTTTACTAATGTTAATTTATTATGTTTGGAAAATTACTATTTAAAAAAAAAAAAAAAGGTAAGTACATGTGAGTAGAACACCAAGATATAAACAAAGTCATTCGTATGCTAGTTTTCAACAACAGTTACAAGATGATCTAATCGATATTAATAATACAAATATATACATATTAGTTAAGAATACAAGTTATATGTAAGTTATAAATGAAATTAAGTAAGTACAGATTAAGTGTGTGTGTGTGTGTTTGTGTGTGTGTGTGTGTGTGTGTGTGTGTGTGTGTGTGTGTGTGTGTGTGTGTGTTTGTGTGTGTGTGTGTGTGTGTGTGTGTGTATGTGTGTGTGTGTGTGGGTGTAAGCTTGAGTGAGTGTGAGTGTAGATGAGTCGAATATTGACTCGCCTCCAAGAGGTAGTCGAATCTAAGTCCCTCCTTCCTCATGAACAGTTTGGCTTTAGAGCTAATCATTCTAGCGTCCATCAAGTGCACCGCCTATCGGAGTACTTACTACAACGTAAAGTCAGATCCAGGCACAGAAGATGCTCAGTGGCTATTTTCCTCGACATAGCGAAAGCGTTCGATAAAGTCTGGCACAACGGCTTATTACATAAGCTACGCAACATAGGAGTGCCGGACAGTCTCGTTCACATCTTGCGGGACTACTTATCGAACCGTACTTTCCGCTTCAGAGGGCACGCTTTCCTCCCCCCGCCCGGTCAGAGCGGGCGTCCCTCAGGGCTCCTTGCTATCGCCCCTCCTCTATGCGCTATACACTAGCGATATTCCCCGTACCCCGGCAGTGGAACTCGCGCTGTACGCAGACGACACCGCAATTTACACTAGTTCATGGTCTAGAGATCAAATTCATCGTCGCCTCCAGAACGCGGCGGACGCCATCGGCGAATGGTTTCGCCTCTGGAGGATCGAAGTGAATCCAGAAAAGAGCGCAGCGCTGCTGTTTCACATACGCCGCCACGACTTCGTCTCGACGGTCCGTCTCCTTGGCACGCCGATTCCCTGGAAAAAACAGGTTAAATACTTAGGTGTTACTTTCGATAGTAATCTGTCCTTTAGGCCGCACCTTCGCGAAGCCCGCAGAAGGGCCGCATTCGTTCTCAGTAGGTTATACCCTCTTCTATGTAGGCTGAGTAAACTGTCTCTTAGAAATAAGTTGACACTTTACAAAACCTGCATACGCCCCATCATGACGTACGCCAGTGTCGCATTTGCTCACGTGAATCTCGATACGCTACAGACTTTACAAAATAAATTCCTACGTATCGTGTCCGGCTGCCCGTGGTACGTAAGAAATATTGACCTTCGAACTAGTGTCAAACTATTGGACTTCGAACTAGTCTCAATTAAAAAATTCGTCAAAGACGCCGCTCAAAGGCATTTCGACACCTCGGTATCGCACCCTAACTCGCTAGTGGTGCAAGCATGCTCGTACACGCCGAAACCAACGACCCTCGCGCAAGACGTCCGCGAAACATCCTCACAGACCCAGACGACGCTATTACGTTAGCGAACGCCGCGTTCCAGACCAATACACGAACTCGGATGCGTCGCCGCCGGCGACGACGAAGACCGCAGAGATTCGTTATTCCCCGGCCGCGATCGGGCGCGGTCGGGATCACCGCTACACGACCGTCCTAACACGGTTGTGACATACATTAGTATACAAATACACTCATTTACATACATTCCACTCCACTTCGGGTAATGTATAATTTTAAGTTTCTATATATTTTAATTTCTTAACAATTAATTCTAATTAAAATTAATTATAATATTAATTTTAATTTTATATCTCCCACAGTCCATACCCGGCGGCGCGAGTGCGCCTCCGCTCTCTCTCCGAGCCAGTCATCGCGGCTCTAAGCATCGAGGACGGTCTTACTAGAAAAGAAATATAAAATACAGTTCACTACAATTTATTATTATTAACTAATTTAATTAATTGTTTACATTTTAATTAAGTAATTTTTAATCTATTGATGTTCTTTCTCTACCTCTTTGTTTTTAATTAGTTAGATATTTTTTTTCATTTAATATTATTAATTCAATTATGTTTTGCATCTTCTCTCCTACCTTTCATATATGTATTTTAGTAACATTGGAAACTGTTATTGGTTAAGTTTTGCTAATTAATTTCTATTCTATATTTTGTTAATACCGTTTGTTTCTAAAATAAATAAATGTCTGGATACAGGTCTTCGAAGAAACAAGACATTACTTGACGGAACTTAAAGTCGACGGGAAAAATATAATCACCCATAGAAGGAAGACACCGGTTTTAGGACTGATGATAGACACATACAGTTTTGAAGAATTAGCAACTGATTTGTTTGATGCTAATATGACCTACCTAATACCATTCAAGGCCTCACAAGACCACATTGAAATGTTTTTTTCATGTGTGAGAGCAAGAGGAGGGGCAAACGATAACCCTACTGCCCTTCAGTTTATGTTTATTATGCGAAAGTTGCTACTTCGTAACAGCGTCAGACCAAGCATTAATTCAAACTGCACAAATCCCGATTATGAAAATTCTGCAATACTAAAATTCCGAAGTGGCAAAAGATCGATCATGGAAGAGAATAACACTGCAGATGAAAATGAGGCAGATAAGACTGATGTTCTTATGCACTTAGTAGGCAGAACCGATATACATATCTGGTTACATTGTAATGACAATATTAGACAAACTAACATGTCAACATTGCCGAGCTTTGCTCATAACGCATCGTATAGCCTGTCAAGAAAGTGTAGAAACGGAACTAATTTTTTTTTATAGTGGCAACATTCTGACAAAATTGACATTTTCTGAAATTTTACGTAAACAAAACTTTCAATTTCGTTTTCATAAAAATTAAAGTCTAAAAACCGGGATAAATTTGGTCTTAAGTAAGGAAAATGAATAGAAAAATTCGAAGTTCTGCTCGGGAAATAATTTATAGTGTCTTTTGGAATATGAGGCCAAAAATATACTTTCTGATCTGAACAATGTTTATAAAAGAACCGCTGAAATGACAGGTATTTGTGAGTTTTAATGTGTTAATAATTCATCCACCCAAAGCTATTATGAGTCACTACCAAGCTTAATAATAGGTATATTTAGAATAATCATTTTTCACTTAGGTTATGTTTACAAACGTCGATGACAGCGCATTTAGGCTGTGTTATAGACCGCATAAATTATTTGATACTTACATTATTTGATACATAACGCATGTTTGTATTGTAACCTGTAGGTCATAAACTCATTACATATTAAATTAAATCTTATTTCAAATAAAGTATAATTTTTACATTTGCTTTAAATCAACATTATTAATATGAAACTTGAAAGTACTTATTTTGTGGATTATTTAATCAGGAAAATCTGAATCTACAGTAAGAAGAAACAAACATTAGAGATCCCAAGATAGCTAATTATAGAATTATCCGAACGGACAGATCGACCGCATTAGGCGGAACGGTCATTTATTATAGAAGATCACTCCATTGCGTCCCGATAGACCCTCCGCAGCTTACGAATATCGAAGCTACCGTGTGTCAAATAGGAATGACTGGTCATCAGTCGATAGTGTTAGTCTCAGCTTATCTTTCACCTAATAAGGACATCTTAGAGAGCGACCTTCAGTCGATCATGTCCATGGGGGACTCGGTCATTTTGGCCGGGGACCTCAATTGCAAACATCCCCGCTGGAATAGTAGAAACTCAAATTGCAAAGGGGTCAGATTGAACGCCATTTTGGACGGCTCAAGAAACCCAGACATAGAAATAGTAGCGCCGATAGAGCCAACTAGGTACCCGACCAGACAGATACACGACAGTCCAGACGTATTAGACTTTGTACTTCTAAAGCATATTACCCTTCAGGTACGTTCATTAGAAGTGCTAGCAGAGCTTAGTTCGGACCATCGTCCTGTCTTACTCCAGCTAGGACACGACGTAGAAGATAGATCGATTAAACGTACAATTACAGATTGGAAAAGACTTAGGGATCGATTCCAGACAATAGATACGGCCAAATTAAATATTACAACGGACACGGTAGCTTTGGTATCGGCGGCCAAAGAGGCGAATACCAAAGTTTTAGACATTATCAAAAATACAGTAGATGACTGCTCAAGGGAGTGCTCGGTGCCCTTCGAGGGGCGCTGGCCCCTCCCTGAAGCAGGTAGGATACTCATCAATAGGAAAAACGCAGCAACTAGGGCATACCACACATACCCGACAGACGCAAATCGAAGGAGGTTATGGAAATTGCAGAGGACGGTCAGGTACCGCCTGGCCGACCTCCGCAATAACCAGTGGGACAAACGTGACCAATACTGGTCACTGTCGAGAGCTCTCAGGAACGAGGATACATCCACAATGCCTCCCTTGGTTAAGCAAGACAATACCTTAGCTTTAGAGGACACCGATAAGGCCGAGTGCATGGCAGACACATACGAAACACAGTTCTCACCAAACACACACCTCATAGACACTGAGCACCTCCTAAAGGTCAACTCAGACATAGAGAGTAGGGTAAACACACCACCTACAGACCCACCACTTGTTGTGATAGTCTGTGGTTTAAGTTTATATATTACTCTGTGGTCTACGTTGTTGTATTACTCTGTGTCTATATATATTCTCACTTTTCCATGATGGTTGATTAAGTTAAATTTGTAATAGTTATAAGAGTTTGTTTCAATAAAAGTAAATGCTATCATAAAGTGAAATTTATTATTTTATAATAAATAAAGCACTCTGCACATAATAATAGGTTATGGGCTGCATCGTAGAATTCGTTGAAATGTAACACGAATATATTTTACAAACGACTGCAAAAATGGCGTCGGAATACGCACGAGTCATTCAAGGTTTGCCACAACTCACGGAAAAAACGAATTATGGAAATTGGAAGTTCAGAGTAGAATTACTGTTGGAGGAAAAGGGAGTATTGTATGTTTTGAAGGGTATAAAAAGTGAAAATTTTAAAAGGGATGATGCCAAGGCGCTGTCTATTATCGTGCAATGCGTTGAAGAGAAGTACATACAAATAATTAGAAAAGCAGAATGTGCTATCTCAATGATACAATGTTTAGATCAATTCTTCGAAAGAAAAACCGTTTTCAGTAAACTAAATTTAAGGAAAAAGTTAATGCAACTTAAATTTAATTCAGGAAAATTGCAGGATCACTTCTTGGCATTTGACAACATAGTAAGTCAAATAGAAAACATGGATGAAAGTGAGAAAATCTGTCATTTATTGCTTGGCATGCCACAAGACTATGAAAATGTAATAACAGCGTTGGAAACAATGAGTTGTGACAAAGAATTAACCATAGAATTTATAAAAACTCGTCTGCTGGACGCTGAAATTAAAATCAAAGAAAAAATTGAAGAAACCAAGAAAGAAATAAAAGAGAGTAATGATACAGATAATGCTGTTGATTTTAGTGCACAAACCTGTTACAAGTGTGGCCGCAAAGGGCACAAAAAATTTCAGTGCTTTTCTGGAGGAGGAAAGTATAATGGACGGCCAGATAATGGTAGAGGAAATAATTATAGAGGTAGAGGAAATAATTATAGAGGCAGAGGAAATAACTACAGAGGTAAAGCAAATCATTATGGTGAAAGATATCAGAATGCAAATGTAGGTGAGACACAAGGATATGATGAACAAAGCCTAAACTATGATATGCATGCGAGTACATATGAATGCAAAGCTAATTTTATAGAAGGTGAAGGAACTATACAGTATATCATTGATTCAGGAGCAACAGAGAACCTGATGCAAGATAAATTTATGCAATATATGACAAAAATTGAAAATTTAAAGTGTGAAATTAAAATTAAAATAGCAAATGGCTCTTATTTAACTGCTACTAAAAAAGGAAGTTTAACAGCTCATTGTCAAAGAGTTACATTGAATGTAGAAGCTTTAATTGTACCTGGATTATGTAATAATTTGTTGTCTGTAAAACAATTGATGAATAAAGGCTATATGTTAATATTCAAGGATAATACATTAAAAATAATTAAAGGAGAAAAAACATTTTATGGTGAAATATCAGGAAAATTATGTACATTAAAAATGAATATAAATATTGGAGAAATTTGCAATATAACAAAACAAGAGAATTTATGGCATGAAAGATTAGGACATCCAAATAGAAAATATCTAAGCATTATGAAGTTACCTTATAGTAAAGAAGTGTGTAATGCATGTATGAAAGGCAAGAGTACCCGTTTACCATTTAAAACTGTGACTAAACCAAAATCTTGTCAAATTGGTGAACTTATTCATACAGATATTACAGGACCAGTACGAACTCCAACTAAAGAAGGTTATAGATACATACAAACCATAATTGATGACTATTCACATTATACTGTTGTCTACCTATTGAGAAATAAAAGCGAGGCAGAAAATAAGTTACTGGATTATATAAGAAGATTTGAAACTGAAAAAGAAAACAGAATTAAAAGAATTAGATGTGATAATGGTGGTGAATTTACCTCAAGATATTTCAAAGATATATGTAGAAAGAAAGGTATCAGAATAGAGTATACTTACCCGTACAGTCCTCAGATGAATGGCACAGCCGAGAGAATGAATCGAACGTTATACGATAAAACTAGAATTATGTTGAATGAATCAAACCTACCGAAACATTTATCGGGTGAAGCTACACTCTGTGCAGCATATCTTATAAATACTACACCCTCAAAGGCTATTAATTTTAATATACCTGCTAAACGATTTGGAAGAGGTATAGACTTGAAACGTTTAAGAATTTTTAAATCTAAAGCTTGGATGATGAATATACCTAAAAATGATAAATTTGATGATCGGGCTAGTGAAATGAGAATGGTTGGATATGCAAGAACAGGATACAGATTATGGGATCCGAAGATGGATAGAGTATTCACCTCGAGAGATGTAAGATTCGATGAAAGTGATACAAGATATTGTGAAAATGAAGATAAAACAAACTATTTTTATAAAAGTCTATACCAAGATGAAGAAGATACTATAGAGGAAAATAGAAATAAACAGAAGCAAAAAGAAATAGTAAAGACTAATGAAAATCAAGACACAAATGATAGAAGTGAAGAGCTAACTACAAAAAGTGGTAGAAATATAAAGAAACCAACCAAATTAAATGATTATGAGCTATATGAAGCATACTGTTTTGTAAGTGAAGAAGACGAACCTAAAACATATGAAGAAGCAATTGAAAATGGATGGGATGAAGCAATACAAACAGAAATTAAATCATTAGAGAAAATGAACACCTGGACTGAGACAAACATACCAAAAGATAAACAGATAATTGATACTCGTTGGATATTTAAAATTAAAGATAATGGTACAAAAAAAGCAAGATTAGTCGCAAGAGGCTATCAATTAAAAGAAGAAAATAACTTTGGAAAGCATTATGCACCAGTTGCTAGATTATCTACAGTTAGAACAGTGTTAGCAGAAGCAATTCAAAATGACTGGACAATTAAACAATTAGATGTTCCAACAGCATTTTTGAGGTATACATAAAACCTCCGAAAGGAATTAATATAAATAACAATAAAGTGCTTAAACTGAATAGAGGATTATATGGTTTACGTGAGAGTCCAAAGTGTTGGAATAAAAGATTTGACTTGTATATAAAGCAAAAAGGATTCAAAAGATCACAAAATGATTTTTGTTTGTACATAAGAAAAGATATAAAAGTATGGCTAGTTATATTTGTAGATGACATTTTAATAACTGGAGAATCTAAATATGTGGAAAATGTAATAATTGAATTAAAAAAAGAATTTGGAATTAAAGATTTTGGGGAACCTAGTTTATTTCTAGGGGTGGAGATAGAAAGAAATAAAGACTTAAAATATTTAAAATTAACACAAAGAAAACAAATAAATAAAATGTTAAACAAATTTAAAATGAGTGACTGTAAAGGTGCTAACACACCAATGGGAAAAGGTTTCGAATATAACAAAGATGAAGAAATTATAGATGTTCCTTTTAGAGAATTGATTGGTTCTTTAATGTTTGTATCAACATCAACAAGACCGGACATAGCATTTGCAACATCATATTTAAGCCAATTTTTAGATAAACGAACAAAGACATTATGGACACAAGCCAAGAGAGTCCTCAGATATTTAAAACATACTATAAATATTGGACTACAGTTTAACAAAAGTAAAGAAAATTCCATTATTTGCTACTCAGATGCTGATTGGGCTGGTTGTAATGTGGATCGAAAAAGTGTAACCGGTTCAGTGACTTTGTACAATAACAATGTAGTTGCTTGGTTGACACGAAAACAAAATTGTGTTGCCTTATCAACGGCAGAGGCCGAATATATTGCTGCAGCTACAAGTGCTTGTGATTTATTATATATAAAAGGACTTTATATGGACTTTAAGTGTGTGAAAAATGTTAGTGATATAAAGTGTACTTTGTTAATGGACAATAGAGGTGCTATTGAATTAACTCAGTCTTATGAAAACTCTAAGCGAGCTAAATACATTGATATTAAGATGCATTTCATAAAAGATTTGGTTGATAAAAAGATTTTGGATATTTTTTATGTTTCTCTACGGAGAATAATTTGTCAGATTTCTTTACTAAAATAATGTCATGTGAAAGAATTACTTTTATAAGAAATTCATTAAATATTGTGTAAGATTATAAAAAAAAATATTATTAAAAAATTGATTGTTATCTTAAAAAAAAATATTATTATTAAAAAAAATGATTGTTGTCTTAGTTGTTAATTTTTATAATAAATGTGTCAATATGTAGTAACGATTTCATAGATATAAAATCGAGGGGTGGTGTTGTGATAGTCTGTGGTTTAAGTTTATATATTAATCTGTGGTCTACATTGTTGTATTACTCTGTGTCTATATATATTCTCACTTTTCCATGATGGTTGATTAAGTTAAATTTGTAATAGTTATAAGAGTTTGTTTCAATAAAAGTAAATGCTATCATAAAGTGAATTTTATTATTTTATAATAAATAAAGCACTCTGCACATAATAATACCACTAGCACCTACCTCAGTAGAAGAGGTAAACACAATAGTCAAGAATTTACACGCCAAAAAGGCCCCAGGATTAGACAAAATTTCAAATAAAGTAATCAAATTCCTACCGAACCAGATTATATATCTATTAATAATCATATTCAATGCCCTTCTGGCAGGCTCCTCGTTCCCGGATGAATGGAAGGAAGCAATAATAATAGGTATACACAAACCGGGAAAAGCCCGTAATCTCCCAGCTAGCTACAGACCGATCTCACTACTCAACTGCATTAGTAAGATTTATGAAAGAATCATACTAGTCAGACTTAAGGCCGTAGTAGAGGCCAAATCACTCATCATACCGGAACAATTCGGCTTTAGAGCACAACACTCAAGCGTACACCAGGTGCACCGCCTAACGGAGCACATACACACACAATTCAACAAACTCAAACGACCGATAGCCACGGGGGTACTCTTCTTAGACGTAGCAAAGGCGTTCGACAGAGTCTGGCACAATGGCTTATTATACAAGCTATACCAAATGAGTGTGCCAGACAGTTTCGTGTACATCATACGAGACTACCTGTCAAATCGTTCTTTTCGCGTCAAAGTAGAGGGCATCCTCTCTACACAACGCCCCATAAGGGCAGGAGTCCCTCAGGGATCCGTACTAGGACCGATACTCTACACATTGTACACAAGTGACATTCCGAGGCACGGGAATACGGACCTCGCCCTCTTCGCAGACGACACGGCCCTTTACACCTCATCTATGGATGTCAACACAATAGTAGACCGCCTTCAGAAGGCGGTAACAGAACTGGGGCTCTGGTTCCGAAAATGGGGCATCGAGATAAACCCCGATAAAAGTGCGGCCGTCCGGTCCGATAAAATATCGGACCGTTCTCGGGCCACATAGTCGGCGCAGACCCCAAACACCAATCACACCATACAATCAATCGATACCTTGGCGTCAGCACGCCAAATACTTAGGAGTCACGTTAGACAGTAGGCTAACATTCAGACAACACATACAGATAGTCAGAAACAGAGCAGCATTCATACTAGGCAGACTCTACCCAATGTTAGGCAAACGTAGTAAGCTGTCCCTTAGAAATAAGGTAACACTCTACAAACTTTGCATACGCCCGATAATGACATACGCGTCCATAGTGTTTGCACAGACAACAAATTCACACTTAGACAAACTACAAAAAATACAAAACAGATTCACACGCATTGCCACAGGCAGTCCTTGGTACATGCGAACAGTAGATTTACACAAAGATCTAGAGCTAGAGTCCATTAGGGACTACATGAAAACAGCATCGACGAGGTACTTCCTAAAATACCTCAACATCCAAATCACTTAATAGTCGAAGCCGCCAATTACGACCCAGTAGACGACATTACAGTTAGGAACAGACGACCGAAGGACGTACTGACCGACCCAGACGATAGAATCACAGCGACCAATTCCATCTATAGGATCACACACAGCCAAAACACACACACTCACCGTCCTCGCCGGCGAGGACGAGGTCCCTTGTTTGTCACGGCCCGATCACGCTTAGGCGTGTGAGAGTCGTATAACTCCTTCAGAGTATTCTAAGCCGTCTCCTATACGGCAAGACCTCCGACCGACAGTTTCGTAAGCCGTGGTCCGAACCTCGCAGGAGGTACCCTTACGGAACTAATTACTAGGTAGGACCTTCTGTCCACCTCAAAAACCCGGTGACGCTGTCAAGGCCAGTAGGGCCAACAGCACTACATATTCCGAAAAAAAAACAAGCCCCGGCCCCAGTGCTTGCTTTGCCTTGGTTGAGAAATGTCATGTTTTACGCTTGATTTACGTGACGTTGTCGCTTTTATTTCGTGATTCATTCTGTTTAATTATTGACACTGTCTATTGAGGACTGTTATAGTGTTTTATTTTATATAAAAGGAAATGGCAACGCCATTAAAACGTACAAGTTCCATCTGGAATCATTTTCAAATAAAACAGGATGATGATACAAAAGCAACTTGTTTGTACTGCAATGACAGCGTTTCTCGTGGTAGTAAGGCAGTTTCATCGAAGGGCTTCACGACTTCTAACATGTGGACACACGTGAAGCGTTATCATGAAAAGGAGTTGAAAAATGACACCCCATCTACCTCGAAGACTGAGGCCGGTCCGCCACTCAAAAAACAAGCTACTTTGGAACACATTCTGGACAAAAATGTTATGTATGATACTGATGACCCCAGAGCAAAAGCGATCACGCAAACGATAGCTGAACAAATATGTTTAGAAATGGAGCCGTTTGATATAGTAAATAAACAGGGGTTTCAACGCACCATTAAGCAGTTGTGCCCAAAATACAAAATGGTTTCCCGTCCACATATCTCTGAAAATGTGATACCAGACATTTACTGTCGTGTGAAAACGAAAATAAAAGAACTTTTGCAAGAACATCCGCACATAATTGTTACGACTGACTTATGGACTAGCGACGCTTCTTCATTCGTGAACGACTTTATAACTCTGACTGCTCATGGAGTGAATAACAATTTTGAGCTAAAGAACTACTGCCTAGCAGTATTTCCTTTCGAAAGGCGAAAGGCATAGCGGTGAAAACATAGCTGAAAACTTACGTCAGTTATTTCAAGATTGGGGTATCGACGAACAGGTACGAGCTGTAGTAACAGATAATGCACCGAATATGGAACTTGCTGTAACAAGAGTGGGTGTGGAACGTATCAGATGTATGGCACACTCTTTACAATTAGTGCTGAAGGATGCGTTTTCAGGAGAAGAGAAAATAAATGAAATGATTACAAAGGCGAGGTCTATAATTGGTCACTTCAGTCATTCTACGTCAGGTCGTAAAATCCTTACTGAAATGCAGAAATCTCATAATGTTCCTTGTCATGTGCTCATCCAGGATGTCAGCACTCGCTGGGATTCTACCCTTCACGCGCTTAGAAGACTTCTTGAGCAGCGAGTTGCAGTTCAAGCATCTTTACCCCATGTGAAATGTAGAACTGAATTGGCTACAAAAGAGTGGGTACTAATGGAACAGGTTGTCTCAGTCCTGACTTATTTTGAAGAAGCTACAAAGTCCATTAGTCAAGAGTCTGCTTGCTTGTCTGACGCCATACCTGATCAACAGTTTGCGAAGTCTTAGAACGTATCAAGAACACCACGGCCATGGATGATAATGCTTATAGCCCTGAATATAGGGCTTTTGTACTGAATTTGATAGCTGGGATCAATGATAGATTTGATTATTTAGAGAGTGATGAAACATTTATTTTAGCAACATAACTAGATCCGCGCTATAAATTGCGTACCTTCACTCTGCAATCTACAAGCATGAATGCGAGAAGAAAGCTAATTTCATTAATTACAAATGATACATACAGGAGAGTCCTAATTCTACAGAGGCGCCGCGACAAAATCAAAATCAGATTTTCTCGGGTATCTGGTCTGCTTGTGACAGTTTAATAAAAGAAGCAGAAGACGACGAGCCTTTATCAAACATGTCTATTCAGCGTGAGCAAGAAGAGGTAGAATCTTATTTAAGATTTCCAAACATTCCAATCAAACAAGATCCAAAGATCTATTGGCGCCAAGAAGATAAATATCCAAAATTAAAAAAGCTTGCACAAAAATACTTGTCTTATCCAATGAGCTCAGTTGCTTCAGAACGTCTCTCTCTCAACTGCAGGCCTAATACAAAATGACTTGCGGAACAGATTATCTGCTGATAATTTGAATAAACTTTGTTTTCTTAACAAAAATCTACCAAAAGTAAACTTTAATTACTGACTTTATGTATCTTTTTTTAATTACTATGTGATTGATTTTGTTTGAAACTAATAAATGTTTTTTTTTTCATTCTCATTACTGAATTTTTATTAATTAAGTATTTTTCCTTCAGTCTTTAGGACCTAAATACATACATATGGTGTTTCATATATATGAAATAACTTTGAAGAGAGATAGTTGTATGTCTATGTCTAATATGTGGTGTCAATATCTTAATAACTTCCTTCAAATTTGTTTAACATACACGAAGCACTTATCTACTAAGCCATCAATATCGGTATCTGTATCGTATCGGAAAAAACATGTATCGTTACATCCCTAATATATATATATATATATATATATATATATATATATATATATATATATATATATATATATATATATTTAATATGTTTTGCTTAACACTAGAAAGACGGGCGGGGGTCATAAGACCCTTTTTGAAATACAGGGTTAGATAATTCCTAAACTATTGGTTTTTTTGACATATCCTCTCGTGACTCGTGTTATTAAAATGGTTCAAATTTACATTTAAAAGTGTTTCCATTGTTATTTGATCATTACATCATAAATAAATCATACATCTACTTACAAAGATGGCACCGACCATTTGACCCATGCAGTATTTGTTACAGTAAACCTATCCAATAATGGGTAAACCATAATATTTATATTAGCGGAAGTTATGAAATATAATGAACCCGATTGTACTTAATTTCTTCTCTTGCTTTCGTCAAGTAAACAGTGTTATTCAGATGTGTCACTATGCCTCGATTTACTGATAGTCAAATATTAGCATCATTACAATCTTAGCCTGAAGATCAATCATATGGTGAGAGTAAAGGGCAGATAGATACCAAAATGATCCCAAAGAAGAGGTACATACACCCGAATGAAACTCTTCGAGTAGTGACGACTCAGATGATAATATACCAATAGGTAAATTACCTATTCCATTCTTTTCATTATTAGATATGATTTGAAATATCTTAGTGGTGAATAGATACATGTTATATTTTTTATAGCTACAGTATTCAAGTAAACAAAAATTCTGTAAAGAAAAAACTTGTCAGTGTAACATTTTATAACTCAAAAATGGGGTTGATGTTCTTGACCAAATGGCCAGAAAATATAGTGTCAAAGCAGCATCACAAAGATAGCCAATGCAAGTTTTTTATAATACATTGGACTTGGCTGCCATAAGTGTATGGATTATACATGGATTATGGAGTGCAATTATATCAAGAAATAACAAACAAGACAGTATTAAGTAAGACAGAAGAAACTTTATATTCCAGCTAGCTCTTGAACTCAGTGACATTTCTGATTAATCTGATGCCTCAGCGGCACCAAAACAGCCACCAATACTGACAGTCTTGTACTGCCAGTACAAGGAAAAGGTGCTATTGCTCTTCTTTTGGTTGTAAAAACCAATCAAACAAGGTTTGCGACATATGTAAAAAATCTTTGTGTGGACAATGCAATCAGTCAAAAACTTTTATTTTTCATATTTATAAGTAAAATTATAAGTAGGAGTTCATACAAACATAATGAATATAAGTCAAATCGAAGCTTAATGTCTTTTTCACTTATTTGTTAACAGTTTTTGGGACATTTTATTATATAAAATTATTTATAAAGCAAGGGGTCAATGACCCCTCGCCGTCTTTCTTGGTAAGTTGATTTTTCCGTCTTACTAGTGTTAAAATGCAAAAAAGTCAACAGATTTACAACAGAGCAACAATGAAGAAGAACAATGAAAACTTTAAAACTTAAATATCTCAAAACTAGCTCAATGTAGAATGGATCGTTTTCATTTAACAACCTCCAAATATACAACCTATAGAACTATATGACAGAAGCATATGTTAACTGCCTTCAAATGGCCAGAACTAGAACATGTAGCAATTCCAATGTTCCAAATGTTCAAACCCGTGTTCAAAATTTAATCCATTAGAATATAAGGAGAAATAAAACTTTTCTGTTCAATATTATACCTATAGCCTATTTATATGCGAATATTTTGCAAACGTCATCATCTTCGTGCCTAGCGGTAGCAAATGCAAGCGCAACCTTCACTGCTTCCAGAAACCGCTTATCTGGGAAATGTGTTTCAAAGAACACATCATACTTTTCACAAATATACTTTTCTTGTAAAGATTTTATTGTTTACGTAGTTATAAAAAACTAGAAATATCCATATATTTACACAGACGCCTTTTTCTAAGATTTAGCCGTTTCCATCTGACGGCTGAGATTTGAGAAATTAGAATCACAGAGATGAGACTAAAATTACAATATATTAATTCATCTGTGAATGTATTGTAAATGTAAAATACACAATTAAAGATGCTAAAAAAATGTTTGTAAAATATATTTTTTAGCATCTTTGTTCCCTGTTTCATACTCTTATCTCTATGACATGTCACATGACTGATGACACTATAGACAGCACAAGTTATCATGGATGACAAATAAAACAGATTATAAATACTTAGGTGAACTAGTGTTGTACAATACCAATAATTTATAGTCATTTATAAAAATAATACTCTTAAAATCGATATCTAAGTTAATTCTATATTTACAATTTATGTTTTACTTTTGTACTGAGTTAAAATGTATAATTCAATTCAAAATTACATTTTGTTGAAATTAATGGGAACTTTTAAATGTTATTTACAATCTAATGTTTCTTACTTTTAGTTACTTTAAATCTTTACATTTATTGTCTAATAGTCAGTCAAATTACGTTTTGATGATTCGTAATTTTTCTAAGCATAAACTTGTTTAAACTTTATATGATTTCAAATAGTAAATCTTTTTTATTCTATTTTATATCATTAATTGTAATATTCCTCTAAAATAATCTTCACTACTAACTACGTACGTACGGTACTGTTTGTACCTAACTATAAATAATGACCTTTGAGACGTCTAAAACATTAGTCTCTCGAAATGACGGGAACAAAATCTCTAAATAAATCCACGAAAAAATCCGGAAAGATAGTTTTATTTAAAATAATCTTAGGTTGAATCTAGGTTAAGTTGATTCTCGTTTGAAATTAGAAACAAAAACGGTTATCTTAAATAAATTAAGTTGACGATGTTACAGTCTTACATCATAAAGCTCTTTAAAGTACGTGTTGCGATAATTTCAGTTTCATAGATATCCGAATAATTATTGATAAAAATATTAGAAAAATAGTAATTAATCGAATTGCTTTTTAACGGGTTTTTCATTCTCATTTCTCATTTATTTGATCGAAAGCAATATTTGGTATATGGCAATTTAGTGTTACTTAATATTTTGATTTTGAGTATGTAATAGCAAACTGAATTAAAATTAATATTTTTAATTTTTCAACTTTTTTAAATTACATATAGAACAATAATATTGCTTAATATTAACCAATATATATATTTTTCACATTTATAACTACACGGAACCTGTGTCGCCAAACAAACTAACACAAATACACTATTAATCATTTATTTTACTACCTACAAATAAACAACCACTTAAATATTGGTGTTTTATTTTAGTCAAAATTAGCATAAATTTCAATATCCTATAATAAAAATTTACCTTTTCCCAATATTTGCTTAGGTACTTCTTTTTATTCGAGATCATAAGCTTCTATAAAATGATAACATACGAATATCAATCATCAGTTTTGATAAAGTATCAAGAAAGGTATGGCGTTCAGTTAAAAGATGTATTGAAGTTTTCTTTAGAATCGTAGTGATTTGAAACTCGATGAAACGAAAATGCGATAGTAGAAAGAGACAAACCCATAAATTTATAGGGTTAAGTCGGCGAGAGAGAGAGACAGAATACATTCCACAGAAGGTGAAAAATTAAAAAAATACTGAATAATATGTAATGTATGTTAAATAAAATGTAAAATAACGTTTGAACTTGGTGAATTGCACGCACAGATACACTATTTTTTCTTTTGTTTCTTTTTACCTTAATATTTAAAAGCCTTTAAAAGTAAGTTAAAGTTTAAAGTACTTTTTATATACAAGCGAGCATTAAATCTACAAATTACAATATAGTATATACAGCTTTTCTGATTCATAATATGGAAAAAATAAAATAACTTTTAACTTGCTGAAAATATATTCTAACACCATTCGTTTGTGGAATAAAATTTACATTTTACAACAATTTTACTTAAATCTTAACATCTAATATATTTGGGAAAGATATGTGACACGAAGCTTAAAAAAAAGGCATAATTAATAAAATTGTTCTAAATTAAAATGTATTATTTAAAAATAGGCATTTAGTACACGTTGGTATTTAAGTAAATAGTACTGATTTTATGATAAAATTATTTTTAATCCATATATTCGATTCAGACTAATACAATACATGGAGCGTGTAAAAAAATAAATAAAACCTGAACAAAAATCTAATAGGTCAGAAACAAAATATTATGACAATAATATATATTTTTAATATCTTGTAAATAAACATTTCAAATTCAATTTTTAATATTGTTGATAAAATTTTATTATTTTACAATACAAGTTGACATAGTGCTGGCAAGTAAAAAATGGTAGTAAACGGTTAATAAAAATAATACCATTGCAGACTCCAATCACTCTAGCTATCTTCTACACACTCCATATACCATCTTTTAGTGTGGAAGTTACAGATGCACATATTCCAATACACAAGTTATTGCCATTTTGAAACTTTTTCCAATGAAAAACCTTTTTATTTATAAATAGATAAAGATAGAAAAGATTAAAACCTAAATAGGCAAAGACAAAACAGTTCAGTATCTTTTTCTCTTATTTGTCAATCGATTTTCTTCACTTTTTTTGTTTAGGAGCTACTAATAAGCTTGTTGTGTTATCAATTAAAAAAAACAAAGAAGCAGGTTTTTTTCGTGAAATAATTATTTCGATCACTGAGTTAATAGTAATACTAAAATAATAATTGCAACTGAAAATATAAATATAATACATTATATGTAATTGAGAACTTTAGTCACAGTTCAGTTAATATATATAAGTCAAAATTAAAAAATTAAATTAAAAAAGGAGTTCATATTCAAAATTTTAATAATGCATTCAATAACTAGTGCTGATCAATGTTATATTGAAGATTTATTTAAGTATATAATAAGACCTAATCAAAGACTTACCATAGAAAATACAATTTTCTTCCGCTAAAAGAGAAAAAATATTAATAAAAGATAATATTAAATATATATATCAATATCGATATTATTTCATGGTATATTATAATAATATATTACACATTTAATTTACACAAAGAACATTGATATTGATATAATGAATAACAACAATAAAATCGATTTTTGATCAATTCACATCACTAATTAAAAATGGAATGTTTTTATGGCAACAACTTTTATGAATGCTTGAAATAATTCGTTATTGATATTTAAAATAATTTTAATACAAATATTATAATACATGACCGTTTAAAATCTTCGACTAGACATAAAATACTAAGATTAGAATTTAAAATAGTATATTCAATTCATAAAAAAAACTAATTAATTAAAAAAAATGTATCAATAATCAGATCAAATTAAACAATTAAACTGGTTTTTTCAAGCTTAAAATAATAATAATATGACAAATATATGCAATTTTTTCACTGTTTTTTTAATTTGCAATAAAATAATAATGCTTACAGGAATGTTTTATACACACCAATCGCCAATAAAATAATCGTTACAGAATAAAAACAATTAATTTCAAATAAAATACAGAAAAAACACGCAATTCTGTTAAGATAGACGAAGCGTAGAGAACGATAACCTAATCCAAACGTAACTATATATTATATTTTTATATTTAAAAAATATTTTTTAATATTGTCTTTTACAATATTAGTGGATATATTTAAAATTCATTTAAATAATAGCAGCAAGAATGGTATTATAAAACAGTGTAATATAATACCATTTTATACATCAATCAGTTCTCCGTCTATCTTAATAATTTACTCTGCGAATATAACATACCTTCGTCATTTATAACTTTCATAGCTATTAAAGGAACTGGTTTTTTGAAGTTATTATTATTATTAAGTTATTCTTTTAGCACGTTTGGAAAAAAATATGCGAGTAAAATTTTTAAGATGCGCGCACACACCGACAGCCAAAAAACGACATGCTGCATTCCTTTTACAAACAGAGAGTTGCGACATACGGGATGAAATCTTTAGCTATTTTTGTTCTGTTACGCCTAAGAAGTATAACTTCTTACGTATATAAGTACACACACACGTTTTTTTATATGGAACAAAGCACACTATTATCGCACCATGTAGTGTCATAAACAAAAATATAATTCCGGAAAGAAATAACACAGATAATAAAATGAAAAATATGTCAAGAGACTAGGACGTATGTAGAGAGAATCTTAGACATTAAGCAATAATACATTATGCCAATCGCTAAATGAAAACAAAAAAAAACATTTTTTTATGGGATGTCCTGAATATGGCGATAGATTCCGATTAACATAATACTTCTTAGATTTACGCGAATATTTGACATTTTAAATAAAACTATATTTTCGGATTTTGAAATAATTATAAGCTTTTAGACCTTAAACTTTAGTATCTCCTGTGACTATGCTTGCTGTAAAGCATTCGAAACGTCAAAAAAAATTAAACTCCGAAAAATCCGAAAAAAATAGTTAAAAACCTACTTAAAAAACCACTAAAAATAGAAAAATCCGAAAAATAAAAATTTAAAAACAAAAACTACTTTAAAAAACACTAAAAAGTGAAAAATATCTGAATGGTAGTTTTCATTTACTATACATACCTAATCAAATATTTTCTAAGTCGATGTGCTTCGATTTGTATCGGCATTACAAACAGACACTTCAATTTTATTTATCTGTATAGAAAAAAACAGTTAATAAAAAGTACATAAGTCAATTCACTGGTCGTGTCTATCCAATTTGACGTTTATCAAACACATTTTAAATAAAAAATGGCGTAAATCTAACAAAATATTACGTTTAAGACATTTGAATCAAACTAAAAATTTCATGCAAATGGCTTTTAACACGACAAAAATTATTATTTATTATCATTTGCCTTCATCTGTTCTCGTAATCTGGAGATTTCTTCGCCGAGGGTGTCCATATTTTCCTTGAAATAAAACCATTCAAAGTTTTAATACTAAATACTAGTTTGCATTTGTGACTTTGCATGTTTAATTCTATTCATTAATTAATCATTTAACTCAGACTAAATAATTGTATAGACGGAGTCTGACAAAATATATGTCAAAGTCAAAAATAGTAGCGTGATTCGCTGTTTATGCTTCTATTACTGTATGTCATACAGATAGTTTACTTTTTTTAAAGAATAAAGGAGATTTTATACAGATATTAGTTGTTTATTTACAATTTTTGAGAAGAAAATAGGAAAAAATAAAAGTATTATATCATTTTGTATTTTAAAACATAAGTTATCTTTCCTTGAAACAGAGACAGCGTAATATTTGCTTTTTGAATTTATTTTTCTTATAATTCCTCAACGACCGCGGACACGCCGGCGTGTCAGTTAACAATAGATTTCTTAGAATTTTAATTAATTTCTTAGAAATTTACCTGGAGGTGTTAATGCTATAATATCCGGATAAACTAGGTTCAAATCCCGAGTCTCGCACCTCTGATTCATGTGGGAATCATTTCCAACATGATTACCACTTGTCTTAACGGTGAAGGAAAAAATCATGAGGAAACCTGCATGTCTGAGAGAACCTAGCAAGTTCTCGAAAGACTCAGTCCGCCCGCACTTGGCCAGCGTGGTGGAAGATGGCCTGATCGAACTGAAGGCCCGTGACCAACAGTAAGACTTAAAAACTGGTAAAATAAATTCATACTAACCCCACCCCATCAAGGAATATTTACACAAAAATAATAATAAAATAAGTCAAAATAGCTCACTTTAAGCGTAATATTTTTCAACAACGTGTCCTCTAAAACGGCCTGCAATCGTTTATTCATTTCCAGGGACAGGTCTAGAGTCATACCGCCAGGGTCGCCGCCCCACAGCGCCGCCATCGCCCCGCCACCCATTTGCGCTATCTCGCTCTAACGTATGAGAGATAATACATTCATATTAGTGATGTGCCGATTCCATTATTTTACAATCGATAGAAATCGATATATAGTCGGTTATTGATCGATTAAAGTCGATTATGATGTATGAAGGTAGTTGATTCTCATTTTGGTATAAAAAGGCAATATATTTTTAACCCTAAAATGAACTGTTTTGATTTCGCGACTTTAAAATGTCGGAGAATTACCTATGAATAAAAATTGGTAGGTTAATAATGAAGATATTCATAGATAATATTGAGGGAATCCCTTTTTGCAATGACAGGGTTGCCATACTAAACCAAGACCAATAAAAGTAATTTTTAAATAAAGATTATTCGAATTAGAATCGATTGCGATCGATTATTTTAATAATCGATTATTGACAATAATCGTATTGGCGCATCGCTAATTCTCATAGTACTGTCACTTTCGCACTTAGGATTGAAGGCAATATTATGCAATAACTATAAAGCCATGCACTTTATTTCTTAAACAAAATTTACCTTTGAAAATTTCCGTTTAGGCTGAGGCAGCGTTAATAATAAAATACCAATTAATTATAGATTTCACACTACCATTAATTGTGATCATACACACACATACACAACATACGTTGACGACACGTTTGGCTCAGTTGGTACTGACCCTACTTGCTGTACCAGCGGTCGCGGGTTCGAGTCCCGCTGGGGGCATTCATTTGTGTGATGAGCACGAATGTTTGTACTCCAGTCATGGGTGTTTATATTTATAATATGTATGTATTTAAAGTTATATACATATGTGTAGTGTATCAACTATCTGGTATCCATAACATAAGCCTGTAGCTTACCATGGAACTATATGGCGCTGTGTGTTAATGTTCCAACATATTATTAATGTCCCAACATATTAAAAATATAATTATTTCATAATTAGGATAGGTTGTATTTTCTAGAAGTGTGTGTAACGTTTAAACAAAATTTTTTGTTAGATTTTCCACCATAAGATAGAACAAAATCAATTATTTTCTACAAAGATTTTTTACCCAAAAAAGAAAAGGATTTTTCTTTGAACGTTTGTCTTCTATGTGTTCTTAAACCACTCAAGTTTACGGAGGCACTCGAATAAACCACGGTAATATGTAGTGCATACAGTATTCCAACTCGGACCTGTCCTTGAAATAATTACCTACAGCCGAGCGGCACGTACCCACGCGACAGGGCTGCCCGCCGGCCAGTATTTTAATTTCATCTACCTACTTGAGTTTCTTTCTAATTTTGTGATTTCGAATATTATATTTTATATTTAAAAATTATTATTAGTACATTTAATTAAAAAATATCAAATTTATAAGAGTGTATACCGAACGCGACGCGCGTAGGTATAACTCGATTTCCAACCGTTTGTATGAAGATGGAATACTGTATGTAATATTACCGTGAATAAAGCGAGGGCGTCATCATTATAGATAGTTGTGTGGAGGTCGATAGTGAGTAGGTAGTATAGTACACATTGTACGTATAATATTAATGTACATGTCAATGTGTACGGGCGTGCTTGTGTGTGTGTTTCTTTCATTGTGGTTTCAGTTCTTCTCAGGCCTAAGGCAAGGCTTCTTCTCTCCAAGCTGATAGAGTCGAGTAGTGTGTGTGAAGATTTGTGTATGTGTATGTGTGTGTGTGTGTGTGTGTGTTTAAAATGAAATAAACTTTTTTCATTTAGGTTTATTACAAGCACTTTTGAATTGTCGATTTAAGCGTCAATGTACTCAACGTCACAATCTCACAAACTTTACCTATTTATAATATGAGTATAGATGTGCGTGTGTATACCTTGTGGCGGTCGGCGTCGGCGGCGGCGAGCGCGGCGGGCGGCAGCGCGGGCAGCAGCGCGCGCAGGAGGCGCGCCTTGCCGCGCAGCTCGCGCGTGAGCGCGGCGCAGTGCTCCTGCAGGAACTCGCAGCGCTCGGCGCGCGCCGCCGCCGCGCGCTGCAGCGCCACCACGCGCTCCACCAGCGCCTGCCGGTCGCACTCCGGGGACCGCGTCTGACGCACGCGTTACGTACACGTTTCAAGGTATCTGCCCACTACACCGTCTCATACCATGACCGTGCTATGAACGTATCGGGCACGGAAACGAAGGATACAGACTACTATGCCCACTAAAATGTATCATACCCGTATGTAACATTTTTAGTGCTGCGTATGCTCACCATTGCGCCACCCGCGCGCGCCGGCCCCGCGACGTCGCGTACCAGGCACAGAGCGTACCGGCACCGTCGTTACCGCTCCGTGCACGGCACCCAATGGTGCCGGTCGGTGGCGGAACGATCTAGTGGGCGGAGTCTCATACTTTTCAATACAACAAATATTTTTTTTCCTGACACGGTCCTAGCACGGTCATTGTATGAGACGGTGTAGTGGGCAGACTCCTTATATATACATTATACCTATCATTATTTTAAATTTACACAAATATTTAACATTTTAAATAATACTCTAATAGAACAACCTTTTCGGATTTTTTCGTAAAATATTTTTATAAATGAAACTATTTTTTTTTTAATTTAACTAGGTATCTCTCACGGCCTTGTTTATTTTAAAACATTCGAAGCTCGAAACATTAAGAACAAAAATACAAATATCCGAAAACAATATATTTAAAATGTCAAATAATTCTCTTATTTAAGAAAGTATTACATAAAAATATACGAGTATATCAGTATCATTTACATATAAAACCTTATTTTATACTTTAATATAGATAATGGTAGGTCCAGTGATAACGCGCTCAGAAAACCAAGTAAAATCCCGAGTTCGAATCCCGGGCCTCGTATTTTTCAAAAATATTAACCTACAACAACTAACATATATAAAGGTCTCAACGATTTCATAACAAAAAATAAACTTTTCTTATTCCTACACATAAATCTTCCGAAAGAACATCTCTAAGTAATAATGAAAATCGCATCAAAATCAGTCGCATACTTTAAAAGATTAAAACGCACAGACAGACAGACGCGAATAACGACTTTCAAGTCTATGTGTCTGTCTGTATACATTTGTTAAATAAAGTATATATTACCGTACGAGTTAAATTTAAATAATATTTAAATAAGTATTTTCCAAACTACACTACTCTTAATAAAACAAAACTAACCCTTAGAAACATTTTGTTTAGAATATTTGGATGTTTAATCTGCAATTGTTTCGTTAATTTTAATTAAAATTAATAATAATATTTATATTAAATTTATTTAAAATGAAAAGTGCTCAAAAATTATTAAAAAAAAACAAACAATAAATAAAAAAAATCTAGTTCATAATTGGTCAAAGTTATGTTTACTACTACAATATATGTATTTATTATTTAAAACTATTTAAATTAAAATTTAAAATTATTTAATATTAATTTTAAATTACCTAACTTAAAATCTTACCATAAGCTGAGTTTCCTTCTGAATGCATTAATTGAGAAGTAAAAATATAAAAAAAATATCTTTTCAAATCAAATAAATAATAAGTTCAAATCTAATATTTTATTAGATTTGAATATATTACTTATTATATAATACATCAATACTTAAAAGAAATAATCTGCAAACACGGCAATTTATATAATTGGTCGCCCTCAGACTAAGGAAGCGTAATCTTATTATAGGTATGTATACTTGTAGATATATAAAAATCTATGTGTGTATGTATGTTCCTTATGGACTCCAAAACGGCTGGAGCGATTTTGATTAAATTTGCAGGTAACCTTTAGATTAGTTCTGCAGATGATCGTGTGAAGTTTGGTAGCGATCGTAAGATTGAACGCGGGCGAAGCTGCGGGTACTTCTAGTAGGTATATATAAATACATTCTTTACATATAATAAAATTTTAACCAAATCGAATCTGTACATTTAATATTTTTTGGAAAATCTTATTGAAATAGACATTATTATCGATACAGAGGGCGAATCTATAGTTTTTAGAGAATTTTGTCTGTCTGCCTATCTGGAAACGCATCACGAGAAAACAACAGGACAGATTTTGATGAAATTTGGTATGATAATAGCTGGTTGTCTGGGTCAACCTAATATCATATATAACATATAGGATACTTTTTACTGCGGGAAAATATCTCATCCATGAGAAATCTATACTAAATTTTAAATTTAACTACGTGGGCTAGTTTATAATATACTAGCTTCTCACTCTCGCTTCGCTCAGGTTCGTCCCTGATATATATATATATATATATATATATATATATAATATATATATAGTTTGTACCTGCACGTCCGGCAATGTGTCCGGCGAGTGTCCATTTTGCACCCGCTCCTCTTGCGGGCTGTCTGTACTGCTTAGTGAGGATATAGAACCTGAAAATATTTTATATATTATTTAATATTCTTTTAATTTTAACGGAAAATATAATTGTGTTTTAGAAAAATAAAAAAGTACTTATATACGGCATAGTAGGCATATTACAATCATATATTTATAGAATATCATATATGCAAAGAATATAACATCATAATACATTTGTCAGACAATAACAACGGTTACCATGGCAACATGGTAATGTATTCTATCTCATTCTCTCGCCAGCTCCATCCTATATATTTATGTGTTTGTCTCTTTCTCGTGTCGCATTTACATCAAGTTTCAAATTACTACGATTCTAAAGAAGTTTAACTTAAAAAATATATACAAAAATAAACAAATTCGCTTAAACTAAAATAGAAGAGAGAAAAGCTTACAAATAATGCTTTAAGTAAAAACACTGTTGTAACAACATCGATCAAAAAAGTACTAGATACACAATTCCATGCAAAAGTTCTCTTAAAACTGTCACCAATTGTGTTTAGGTAATTATTCTAGTTGAAATAAATATATACAACAATGTAAATTGAACCTTAAATGCGATGCTTAAAGTTGTTTTCATAAAAAAATATTAAAAGCGCGCTCAAATGTTCAAATGAGCGCTCATTCGGAGAGGTCATTTTTCGTCGCCGATTGTGTATTTAGTACTTTTTTGATCATGTTATAACCAAAACGCCAACCCGCACTTGTCCAGCGTGGTGGACAATGGCCTGATCCCCCTCGTATGAAGGGAGGCCCACCCCCAGCAGTGGGACGTTAAAAAGGGATGAATACATACGTACAATACATAAAAACCAAAAAAATTACCAGTTCGAATCGAAGGCGAGTCGTTTTGAGGCACTTTCGCCTCCAACTGCTCTATTCTTTTAAAAGCCCGTTGCAATTCGCGATTTAGTTCCTGAAATAGAAAGGAAAACCAATAGATTTTTTTTTCTCTTTATTTATTTAGTAGGTAAGTTTTATATTTTTTGAGTGGAACCATAATACTTTTTCTAAAGTAAACGTAGCCTAAGTTACTCCTTATAACATCAGCTATATACCAGTGAAAGTCCCGTCAAAATGGGTCCAGCCGTTTCGGAGATTAGCCGGAACAAACTGACAGAGACAAAAATAAAAAAAAAACTTTTTCTTATAAGTATCTACCATAATATATAATTTCGTATGCATTTAGTAAAAAGCTGATATTTTGAAATTACAAACAGATACTTCAATTTTATTTATATGTATAGATATAGATAACATATAAACCACAGGACAGATTATATATACATAAATGATCACTTATTAATAAAAAACGAGTTTATATCATACTTTTAGAGCACTCGCATGTTTCTTCTTCAACACGCTGTTTTCTCCCTTCTCCCACTCCAGCTTCTTATTTGCTTCTGCCGCTTCTTCTGTCAGTTCTGCCACCTGAATATAAAAAAATATATATTTAAAACTCGTGTGTACGCACGTAAGAAGTTATACTTCTTTGGCGTAACAGAACAAAAATAGCTAAAGATTTCATCCCGTGTGTCACTCTCTGTTTGTAAAAGGAATGCAGCTAACTTCATCATGTCGCTTTTTGGCTGTCGGTGTACGCGCGCAAAGTAAAAATTTTACTCTCATATTTTTTTCCAAACGTCCCCAAAAAAAATTTAAATTCAAAATAGAAAAATAAACAAACCTTTCTAGCTAACACTTTATTTTCCTTGTTCCGTCGCTCTGTCTCTTCCTCTAGGGCCATTTTTAATTTTTCTGCATCCTTTTGCAATACATCTAAATTTTCCCGTAACGACGTGTTGTCTGCGGTGAGAGCTTGTGCCTGCGAAATAAATCATTATTTAATAAAATAATATATTAACCTTAGCTATGAAGATTGATATTTTTTAGGATTCCATACCCAAAGGGTAAAACGGGGCCTATTACTAAGACTCCTCTATCCGTCCGTCTGTCTGTCACCAGGCTAAATCTCATGAATCGAGATAGCTAGTTGAAATTTTCACAGATAATGTATTTCTGTTGCCGCTATAACAACAGATACAAAAAAACAGAATAAAATAAATATTTAAGGGGGCTCCCGTTCTATAAACGTGATTTTTTTTGCTCGCATTTGCTCGATGTTAATAACGGCAACAGGTAGACGCTTGAAAATTGATATATTCACAGAATATTTAGTTATATATTCACTTTAAAAATAAACAATTAAATTAAAATAAAGCAAATATTTAAGGGGGGGCTTACATACAACAAACGTTATTTTTTTTGCAGTTTTTATAGGTACTTACTAGTTACGAGAACCCTTCGTGCGCGAGTCCGACTCGCACTTGGCCTGTTTTTTTTTTTAGTTTTAAATCGGCATCAAATAACATGTTATAGTTATACTCCAAAACCGTCTCCCGATTGTAATATAAACGTAAATATAATACTCGACAACGTTGCCTGCGTCTCCTGCATGAACACTTTGCATAACGGCTCAGTCTTCTTTAGAATATTATAAAAAAAAACACAGTTTAAAAGATTGATCCACACTTTAGTACTGATCACAATACGTTCTCTGTTCGATTTTTATTTGGTAAAAATCTGTTCACAAAATCGATTTATTTGCTTACACTAACAATAGAATTGAATTGAATGACTCCAAAGCGAGTCAGTTGAGTACAGATTACTTGATCATTGTCATAACAATGAAGAATATGTTAGTAAATAAATATATATGTTGGGACGTTAACACACAGCACCATCTAGTTCCATGGTAAGCTACGAGGCTTGTGTTATGGATACCAGATAGTTGATACACTACACATATATAACTTTAAATACATATATACTATAAATATAAACACCCATGACTGGAGTACAAACATTTGTGCTAATCACACAAATTAATGCCCGCAACGGAACTCGAACCCGCGACCGCTGGCACAGCAAGTAGGGTCACTACAAACTGAGCCAAATGTGTCGTCTAAGCAAAGGAATTTGAGGAAAAATACAAAGGAAATTGGCCCCGTTTTCCAATGATAGAGCATAATGGCGTACTTTAGGGCACAATGCCGGAGTGTGCTAATGCTTAATTGGAACGTGAATTAGTTTTCAAGTGCACCAGCAGAGGGTACAGGGTTCAGTGTTAAAAGAAAAAAATATAATTAATATGTATATAATATATAATAATACATATCGTGGGTATTATAAATTATATTATAATTAATATATTTTAATTATGTAATTATATATTAATTATATAACTAATCCATACTAATATTATAAATGTGAAAGTGTGTTTGTTTATTTGTCTTTCGTTCACTTCGAAACGGCTTAGCGGATTGGCGTGATTTTTTGTGTGGAGATAGTTGGAGATCTGGAAAGTGACGTAGGCTACATTTTACCGTGGGAAATTATCTCTTTTCCACGGGAAAATACGTTATAATACTATCCAAAAAATAATTATGATCAGAATTACTTGAAACTTGGTATTATTACTCTTGAATACAATTAATTAAATACGTGTTTAAACATTTTTCAAAATTCATCTTTTAAGTGGGTAAAATGGGGGATGAAAGTTTGTATGAAACCTACTTTTTTAGAGGTTTTTTATAGATTTAGCGCGAGCGAAGCCGCGGGTTCTACTAGTTAATATATAATTATATAAATAAAAAATAAACAAATATTACTAACGATAATGTAAATAAAATGATAATCAATGCCACCTTGAAGGAAAAACACTTTTCATGTAGCAGAAGCTAATGAGTTGGTATCCTTGAGCGCATTACGCTAAACAGTACTTTTCAAAATGCTCGATAGTGCGGAGCGTTGCTGTAGTTGGATCATACCTACGAAGTTAGCGTTATGCCGCATAATGCGCTTTAGTGGTATAATTGGAAAACAGGGTGGTTTGTAATATAAAAGACAGATGCCAAATGACACATGACTGATGACACCACATGACACATGTCATCACACGACAGCTGACACCACATGGCAGCGGCCGTGGCCGGCAGGCGCACCTGGTCGTGCAGGCGCGCGGCGCGCGCGCGCTCGCCGACGTGCGCGGCGGTGAGCGCGGCGGCGTGCTGCAGCGCGGCCGCCTCGCGCCGCGCGCACGTCTCGGCGCGCGCGCGCTCCGCCGACAGCGCGCGCTCCGCCGTCCACGCGCGCTCCGTCTCACTGACATACACACACACGTATATATATATATCTATATATATATATACACACCTACTAGATACGTTTTGACGGTTAGTATGAAATACAAATCTTTGATTTTCTCGTCTTTTCTATACTACAATATGCAGTGATTACCTTCGTATTTATAATTCAACTAATACAACAAATAAAAATTATTATTTTTGTATGTATGTCTATTAGCGCATCACAGAAAAACCACTGGAGGGATTTTGATGAAATTTGGTATGGTGATAGCTGGTTATCCGTATCAACATATAGGATACTTTTTACTGCGGGAAAATGTCTCATTTCTGAGAAAAAATACAAAAACTCCAATGTAAAAGTATACTAATATATGAAACCTAGGAATTTGCTTTTTGGTCATCTGGACGCGGGCGGAGCCGCGGGCAATACTAGTATATAAATATATATATACAAGGATTGCTCGTTTAAATATATTAGATAAATAATGTCTAACCGTTGCAACTGCGCGCTGAGCGTGTCAGCGAGAGCCGCCTGCGCCCGCAGCGCCGCCAGCTCCGCGGCCTCCTCTTCTAGCCTCATGTTGCTTTGCTTCAGAGATTCCACCTAGATTAAAAATATTTTTTTTAACCGTAGGTTAAATCTTGTTTTTTGTAATATTAAGTTTTCTTGTATATGCATGCTGTGTCTGCATCTAGAATAAAAAAATTTTAACAAAAAAATAAAAACCGACTTCAAACAAAAGCACTAAAAAGTAAAAAATAACTGATTGGTAGTTTTCATTTACTATACATACCTAATCAAATATTTTCGAAGTCGGCGTGCTTTGCTTTGTACGGGCTGGCACCGATTTCGAAAATATTTGATTAGGTATGTATTTAATAGGTAAGCTTTAATTACTTAGCCAAAGCACACCGACTTCGAAAATATTTGATTAGGTATGTATAGTAAATGAAAACTACCAATCAGTTATTTTTACTTTTTAGTGCTTTTGTTTGAAGTCGGTTTTTATTTTTTTGTTAAAAATTTTTTATTTTTCCCTTTTTAGTGTAGACAGTAGTAGCAAAGTAAGGATTCTAACGTATTAGGCTTGTCAAATCAAACAAAATAAGCCCAAACTCAAAGTATCTACTATTAGCCGTTGAAGAGTTCCACCTATCCACCTTCTGGCCTTACCATCAGATCAGGTCAACAACACCGAACCACTGTACTATCAACGGAAATAGAAATACTTGCAAAGTTTCAAGTCAATATGACAATTAGAAGTAGGTTAAATTCATCATTAGTTGTTTTTCCACCCTTAGGGGTGGTATTTTTTTTTTGAAATTTAAATGGGACCAATCTGGAAGTATACCCTTTCAAACAAAATAAAAATTGTCCAAATCGGTTAATAAATGACGGAGTTCTGAGGTAACAGTCGAATTGAGAACCTCCTCCTTTTTGAAGTCGGTTGAAAATGCATCCTGTGTATTAATTTTGCAAGCTATTTTTATTTTATATGTGTTTGATTGTCATTTGTTTAGTGGATCAATAAACATAAATAAATAAATAAATAAATAAATGAATGAATGGATGGATGGATAGATGGATGGATGGATGGATGAATGGATGAATGAATGAATGAATGAATGAATGAATGAATGAATGAATGAATGAATGAATGAATGAATAAATAAATAAATAACCAATAGCGGTCATAGCGGCCAATCTCACTGAGACTAGCCAACTGCAGGAGATCTATATAAATAAAAATTGCTGCTAAGCGCAAAACTCGCGAACGACTCAACCAATTCAGCTAATTTTTTTTCGTATGTTTCTTAAGGTACACGGAAAGTTTTAATAAGGAGAAAAAATTTAAAATAAGGTAAATCTGTATATCTGTATAAATATTATAAATGTGAAACTTTGTGAGTATGAATGGATGTTTGTTACTCTTTCACGCCAGAACGGCTGAACGGATCTTGATGAAATTTGGCACAGAGATAGATTATAGTCTGGAATAACACATAGGGTACTTTTTATTCCGGAAAAATAAGCAATTCCGCGATGGAATAACTTGTTTTGCTTATTAAAGGACAACCTTACCTGTTCGTTAGAGAGAGTGAGAGAGGAGATAGCCTCGTCCCGCTCCCTCTTGCAGGTATCGAGCTGCTGCAGTGCGGTCGCGAGACGCTTCTCGAACTCGTCCTTCTCGTGACGGCACATTATTAGAGCCGCTTGGCTCTCTTTTAATTCTATTTCTATATAAAAGAGGAAATTACAGTTAAAAATAATACTTTCTTATAGCTTTCCCTAATATTTGAAGTTTAAAAAAAAACTTATTTTTCGCGGATTTATTTTGATGTTTGGTTACCGACGTTTCGAATGCTTTACAGCGATCATGGTCACGGGAGACGTCGTGTCTCTCCGAAACGATAGTTTTATTTAAATTTCATGGCTTTTTCTAAAATAAACGTAGCCTAAGTTACCCCTTATAACATCAGCTATCTGCCAGTGAAAGTCCCGTCAAAATCAATTCAGTCATTTCGGAGATTAGCCAGACCAAACAGACAGACAGACCAAACATTTTTAAAACTGTTAGATTTTATAGTATATATAATTTTATATGTATTTACTAAAAAGTTCTTATTTTAACATAACAAACAGACACTTCATTTTTATTTATCTGTATATAGTTATCTAAAACGTTTTTAATTAAATAAATACGAATTAAATGTGTCAAAAATCGGAAGATTTTCCAGTAGCCATTAAATAATTCCACTATACTCCTGACTCCATCATCAGATCAGCTCGATGGTATCAAATCATTGTTTTGTCAAACAAATTTTACAGATTTTAAATCTTTACGTATGTACAATGTAAAGTTAAAATCGACTTCTAAGATTGATTACTATAGTTAGCTAGCTATAGTCTGTTTTTTATCTCACAGACAAAACTGATTTTATGTGGGTTGCCAGTTTTTGCAATTCCTAAATAGTGATGTGCCACTATCGAAAATCGAATATTATCGTTTTTTTATAATAAGTTATCCTGAAATTATGTTTAGGTACTTATTTAAAAGGTAATAATACAAAATTAATAATGTGGATTTTAATGATACTTAATGATTTAAAATTAATAAATATGATATTTAATGATTTAGAATTAATAATGTGAATTTTAATGATACACCTTGGAATATGAAACTTTGAAGCAAATTGTCTAATAAAGATAAAAAGTTACGATTCAATAAACCGGTATCGTAGGTACAACACTGCACAAAAGAGCTGGCAGCATTATTTGTAAATTTGACATTTGCATGTGTCAATTTAGTCTCTGAGATTAAAAAACAGACCATAATAAATTAATTAATTAGTCAGTCAGTCAATAAATTAGTCGGTCAGTGAGTAACAAGTGAAGCTAATAACAACAATCCTCACCCAATTGCTTAGCGCGTATAGTGTCTGCGGCGTTGACAACTGCCGCCTCCCTCGCAGCCTCCAACTCCGATACCTGCTGAGATAGCTTCTCTACGCGTTCTGTGCTCTCCTGTAATAAATAGTACAAGTTTCACAAAACAATTAAACTTGTATATAGAAATAATAATGCTTTAAGACTAAACACAAAGACACTTTTTCACTCTTATTTGTAATATTTTTTTCCTATTTTTCACTTTTTAACACTTATTAAGAAACGATGTTACTCGATCGGGAAATAACGACGCTATGAGGTAAAAACGTTCGCCTTTGACGCTCTGCCACCTGAGACCACGTGATTTCAAGCAAAGCGTTGATTGGTCGAAAATATCAAGAGGAAGTCGTACGTGATTGACTAATAAAAGGGAAGTATACAACGCCCTCTCTCACAGATGCTGTGCATCGTCACATCCCACATAATATATAAATATGTGTATTTAATGACGTCTGTAGGTGCCTAACATAGCTTATGAAATAAAATAAACTTTAATCAATTAGACTTATTACTAGTGCTTTTGTATCGTCAATTTAATGTAAGCGTTAGTGTAGTCAGTCCGTGAGGAAGCTACCACCGCGCCGGCTCGGTAAGCAGTTCTGCTGAGAAGAACCGGCGAGAAACTCAACAGGTGCTCTTTTAAATATCGAAGTTACATTTATTTTATTAACATAACATTATAGATAATAATCAATTCCACACATTTTCATCAACAAGAAACTCTTAAACAGTGTAATAACGCTTTGCTCAAAATATTTTTAATTTTATCTTAAAATTGTTGAAAGGGTAAATCTAGGACAATTTGTGGAATCATATTATATATGCGTATACTCACGTCACCACTTCACCAACATCTCATAAGCTACCACCTACGTATGGGATCCCTAGCTTAGAAGTTCCCGTAAACTAGCCCATAAATTTCGTTTTACCATCGTTTTTAAGCCCATATTTCGAGCACCTAAATTTAGGGGGTCTTTTAACATTTAGGTGACCCCTAACTGTTGGTGAAACAGAAACTGTCCCCTAACAGCCCCCTAACCGTGCTTAGGGGATCCCTTAAACTTAGGTGACGTTGGTGAAATCGGGCATTATTCACCTTTTGGAGTCGAAATGTAGGCGTAACAAGTTTATTTCTCTTCCCAGTGTTTATTGTGTGTCATCACTGTTTTTTACATAATTATTTAAATTCTTACAAACGAGTACTATATTACACCGTATATATTACACAATATATATTATGACGCAACGGTAAGAATACCAATTTTTTTTAAACGTATGGGTTTATGGGTTAGGCACTTGAGGGCACAGTCTATTTATCTCCACCTACATGCCCCTCCCCCGTGTTCATCTTGCCGTAGTGGGGAAGCTCATTAACGTCCGGCAATTCAGCCGGGCGTAAGGTAAGAGTAACAAAGGTTTTAAGTTATCCATTAGAATACGATTCTGTGACGTCCCCATTAAGACATGAGAGTTCTGTTGGGACGTCGGAAACCTCGGAAATCAATAAATCTAAATAAATCACGCAAATAGTTTTATTACAATGTCCAACATCCTAAGATGTACTCGTATGTAAGATGTAAACCTAAGAAAGTGTAGCTACACCGGTCATCTCGTGAAACACAGAAAACTTAGCTCTGAAAAAAGTTATTTGTATCGTAAAAAACAAGAAAAATGGGCTTTGAAAAGAGCTATTTTCTTATCTGTATGAGGGAATATATAGTTCTAAAAAGAACTGCAAAGATACTACGCGTAGCAACTAGCAAAACCGCAGATCCGTCCGGCGCGAGCGCTGCGAAGCAAATGGCGCTCTGCGCAGATTGATGACGTATATTTATAACTTCCGCGTCCCACGTTTCGAATGCTTCACAGCAATCATGGTCACGGGAGAGACTAAGGTTTTAGATGTCTAAAAAGCATTATATAATTGTTACAGACAGTCTACCCACAAAATTCAAAAAAATCGATTCATAAAATTCGCGCTTATTTTTCTCTCGTTAATTTTTTACGACCAATCATGTTTTAAATAATTCTAAGATTTTAATTCGTTTATATCTATATTTTTAGTTTGTAAATATTTTAATGTATACATTTTCATTGGTTAAGAGTTTTATCTATTTTTTGTGTAAAAGGAGTCAAATTTTTTGTAATAAACATTCTACCGATTCTACTTATTATAAGTTGCTCATTTACTAAACCCCAACCTAGAAAAAAGTATTCTAAGTCTTAACATTATAATACCTTGTAGGCTTCCATCTCCACCCTCAACTTGCTCTGCGTCCACTTCAAGCGGCCCTCCAACTCACGGTACTCTTCCTTCACTTTGGCGACTTCACGCTCACTGGTTTGTAACTCATGGCACTGGAATTAAAATTATTTCAATAAAAATAGAACTACTAATAAATATAAATGCGAAAGTATGTATGTATGTGTGTATATGTGCGTGTGTGTATGTATGTGTGTATGTGCATGTGTATGTTTGGTACTCCTTCACGCTAAAATGGCTAGACAGATTTGGATTAAAGTACCAAGTTGACTATGAGTTTAGAGTTAGGCACCTAGCAAGTAGGGACGCACCCGAGCGCGAGACGAACGTAGGCAAATCGCTAGTATATTTATATTGTGGAAATTGAATTTTATTATTCATACAACTGTTTTTAGTTTTTGACCGCCCGCATTACGTCTACGTCTTTTGTACGGCTGCAGATCGTGAGGACATGGGTTCGAGTCTCGGGTTAGATCTGATCAGGATCAGCTTTTAACGACACACAGCTTTTCCAAACTTTTTTGTTTACACAAATTAGGTACTATTATTACGGGCCATTGTCACTTAAACAAACACCTATTCATAACCGGCGGGACTGATAGTCCTCTATGTAGAAGATGTTTTAATGCCATAGAATCATTCACCCACATGATCCTGGAATGCGAGGCATTGGCACATCAATGGAAAGAAATTCTCGGATTTCTCCGCGAAGCCTGTGCAGATCCCAGGACATTTTGCGCTTCCGGGCGGTGTTAGGCTGGCTAAGTTAGCCAGGATTCAGGACGCACAACGGACTAATTAAGAGTTTAAGTGTGAAAAATTGAGTCTACCCTATATTTACATATTTACATTAGGTACCACTACATACACATATAGTTCAAACTAGCAGCTCCCCCTCGGCGATTCGCCTCTAGAAAAACAAAAACAAATTTATCCCACGGGAACCGCACATTTTTCCGCGATAAAAATAGCCTATGTGTTATTCCAGACTATAATCTATTTCTGTACCAAATTTCATCCAGATCCGTTTAGCCGTTCTGGCGTTAAATTATAACAAACATCCATACATACTCACAAACTTTCACATTTATAATATTAGTATAGATATTACTATTTATTTATTTATAATATTAGTATACTATATGTACATGTATTAAGGTATATTACCTTGTCATCATAAAGTTGACAAATTCTCTGCTTTTCCTCTCTAGCAGTCTTGAGCTTAGCAGCCAACAGGTCCTTTTCAACTATAGCTGCTTTCTCAGCCTTACTCGAGGCCTCCGCTGCCTTCTTAGCCTCTATGGCCGCACACTCAGTACTAGCATAGCGCATTACTGCTGCATCCTTCTCTTTCTGAGCTTGCTCTGCCCGCTTACACATCTGTAATTGAAAATCAAAACTTACTTTTAAACTTAAGGTTTTAAAAATTTAAGTCTGAAATCTATATACATATACAGATAAATAAAATTGAAGTGGCTGTTTGTAATGTCAAGATAACAGCTTCTTACTAAATGCTTTAAAAATTATCTGTATAGATAGATACCTATAGTGCTTAGTGAAGCCTTCTTTCTATTCTTAGTATTAATTTAGTAATTCTAAAAACTATTTCTTTTAAAATAACTCAAAATATATTACAAAATGTAAATGGAAAATAAATAAATATTTAATTATACAGTAAAGTTTTACAATAGAAACATACCAAATCAACTTTAGCTTCCAATTCTTTAAAAGTTTGATCTTTTGCTTGTAATTCATCAACTTGTTGTTTAACTCTCTCTCTAAGCGAGGCATTTTCTTTTCTCTGTTCAAATAATACCCTCTCGAGAGACTCTATTTGCAATTTAAGCATTTCATTCTTAGGATTATCTATATCGCTTTCGGTATCTTTATTGTTATTTTTAGAAACATACTCTGAGGTGATATTAATACTGTGTTCGGCTACAATTGGTTTTGGGTCACAAGGCTTTTCTTCAGGTATGTCGTCAAAAATCTCATTCATTATCTTTCCATTAGAAATAGCCTTAACATTTTTTATTTGTGGTTTAGGTGCAGCCACTCTATGACTATTATTGTATACATTTTTAAGGCTTCCACTTACAGTTGAGAAGATTCCATGGACATTTTTAACTATACTACCAAGATCTTGAGAAAGGAGTTCCTTAGGTAATCTTGTATATCTGACATCTAAATTTTGAGGTACATCAGGTACTATTTTTTGTGTGGCACTTACTTTATTCTTTTGGTTTGTAAATTCAGAAAGAATTTGATCTTTATCCAGTTCTTTGGTATTGTTTGTTTTTAGTTCGTAAGATAAGTTTTCAACACTCCGACTGTGTAAAGAGAGGCTTATGTTGTTGTCTTGTTCATTTGGCTCGTTTAAACTAAATGTTGAATTTCTTAAGCCACTTTCACTATTCAAGGCAGATTCATTTAAATTTCTAGTTTTTAAAATATGTAAGTTGTCAAGTTTATTGTCAATTATATCTTGGCTTTCTAATCGATTAATATTTTGCAAATCTACAGAATCCTTGTTTATAGACTCAATTTCTAGTGTTGGGCACTCAATTTTAGAGCTAATACTGACGGAACTTTCTTCAAAATTTAAATAATTATTATCTACTTTATCTTCGGAAGACAAAGAAGTAGGAGTCGATATTTCAGAACTAACATCGTTTTCTGGGGCACCACTGTCCGATGTCTCGTCTTGTAGTTCTAAAGGATTCAAATGGTTTTCTGTACTTTTAATGGGTGATAACTCTGAATCTGATGATACGAGATAGACAGACGAACTAGCATCGAAGGTCTCAAGACCTGAATCACAAGATATAACGGATTTATATCCATTCTCTTTTAATTCATCGATGTTGTTACTGTCAATATGGGCAGTTCTTTTAATTTCTTCCGTGGACATTTCACAAGTTCTCACTTATCGTTTGTTCTTAAAATACTCTGATTTTACATTTGATAACACTAAAGCCATTAGAAAATTCAATAGAATTTTTATCAATAAAAATAAACATCCAACATCTGATTGACACTATGACATTTTTTCTAAGGGTTGTACTAAAACGTAGTTGCTGTCGTGAATAGATATTCAAATATCGATTTTCAAAGGAGTATATAAAATATAAATTATTATATAAAATATTTACTTATTACAAAAAAAAATGTACTTTTAATACCATACTGGGTTATGTAAATATAATACTAAAGCAATAATATATTTTAAATATGAAAAAAAGAATACTACTAAATGTAAATGCCGTAAAAATATATAGTAACAGAAAAGGTATAATAAAATGTAATATTAAAGTATAAGTTGGACATTTTAACATTTTTTCAACACCACACAAAGTTTGTCTAAATTTTGTTAATTTTTAATTTATTGATAACTAAATAAAACCTAGGAATAATTCTAAATCATAATAAATCCTAGAAATGATAAAAAAATATTTTTATAATATATAGCATTTCTAGTAATCGAAGTATATTTTTTTGATATTTTTAAGTATATATTTCAGTTTTAAAACATAGGTATTATTCATTTATAAAGTGTCAATATTTAAAAAGAACATTGAACCATTTAAATATTTTAGTTTGTAAAACATTTGTATACGTTTTATTGTTTTTATTCAAAGAAAATAAATTCTTCGAAAAATATAAAGTCTTGAAAGTACTATCCGACCATAGAGATTTTAGTTTATTAGTTGGCAACACTGAATGCTGTCATTTCATTTTCTTTGAAGAGGGAATCGAGGCCCCGGGAAAAGTAGGTCGTCAGTATTGATTTTTACCTAATATTCGACAAACAAAGACCTAGCGCTGCCTTCTGTGAAAATAAATACATTCTCGCGTAGTCTCGTGGAAGAAGAACGTGCATAATGCCAGTAAGTGATTCCAATATGATTCTTATCATGTGATTTCCGGAAATCGCGAATGATTTCATAACTCATCATTTCCTCCTAAGTAGTTCATATTACACGGAATTTGCAAATTTGACTACGTGTAATGCGATATCGCGGCGTAGCTTTAGCTTCATTATAACATACACTTATTACATTTTGAATATATATAACATATTGCAATTTTAGTGAGTCACGATAAATTTATGTCAGGGTCACGTCTAGTACCTCGCAACTACGCAATAGGCGTTATAACAGCGTGTGGTGGAGCTTGTCTTTTTTCTCATATTTTGTCGTTAGGACGCGGAGCTGGGCGCGCCAACGGTCGAGAATGTTCGGGTGGTGGTGCGCGTGCGTCCGATGGACCAAAAGGAGAAACTCGACGGGGCGTACAACTGCGTGTCAGTAGACTCTGTGAACAACACCATAGCGGTCACGAGGAACAACGTCAACCCGCCCGAGCCCCCTCGCATATACGCCTACGATGCAGTCTTCGACACTAATACTACGCAGGTAGGCAACTAATATAGAATATATTAAAACTATGACGTCATTGTTCATCTAGAAACTGCTATCAATATTGTACTCATTACAGTTGGCTCTAATTTTTTAGTTATTCTCTGTGTTTTATTAAAGTAATGTTTGTACTAAATTTAACTATTTTCTAATAGGAATATTGACCTAAATCTTGAATTGACTTATAAATTAAATTTAATTCATTAGCAACATAGCAACTGATTTAAAAATAAATTTTATTGATTATTACTTGGACATAGACAAAGCATCCTAACAAGTTAGAGCGAACCATAAATAAACTATATCATTTGCAAAAATACTTGGAACTGGAACAAAGAAGACGAAGAGAAGCTATTCTTCACTAGACCAGCCCGCCATTTGCCTTGACTGACGCTATCCAAGTCCTCAGTCTTGTCGAATGGTGGGTTCGTTTTGTGACCAATCATCAGTGAAGATTGAACAAAGGAACAACTAAATATAATTTTGCCCATTTTAAAAATACCAATCAATATATTAAAACAAAAGCAACTATTTGAGTTAATTTGATTTAAACAATGGTATTGAAAATTACATATTAATTTTCCTTTCCTAAGAACAATTTATAATTTAGATTCATATTTTCTAAATAAAAATATAAAATTTATTATTAATATCAATTATAAAATTAATACTTAAATTCTGTTTATATTACAATTACTACAATATAATCTACTTTGAACACCATATATGTGTTATGATAACTTGAAGATTAACAGTAGATAATTTTCGTGATAGTAACAATGTTCAATTGAAACTTAAAATTAAAGTAATAATTGAAAATGATTGGTTTTGTTAATTTTGGCAAGAGATTTAGCTTTCAAAGTATTAGGAAACAAGTGGTGTAATCGCCTTGACCGACTTTCAAGAGAGAAGCAAATATTGACGTAACGTTCTTAGTGCATCTTGCTGCGGGCGTGCCCGCGCAAGACAGTCAGCCTGTGCCCAGTGCATCGGGAATGTTACGTTTAAATACTTCAAAACGACATATTTAAAGAAGAAATTGACGACATTTTGATATTTTATATTTATGTGAACCAATTATTTCTCTTTCTGTGTCCATTTTATATTTTAATACAGAAATCCTGAACGGCCGTCACGGAGTTTTCGTGTAAAATTTTCGCAATTTAACTCCATCGTAGTTATCCCGCATAGACTAACGTGTCCAGATGAACATGTCTCTTTCTAACCCTTTGTATTTGGTATACCCGTCTTGCTTGCACTGACGGTGCGCCACGCGTCTGATTGGTCCGACGTATCGGCTGTTTCAAATGTAATTTATTGATTGTTTTCATTAATACAACTAGTTCCTTAACTCGACTTTACTTGAAACTCGCAAAAAATTATTATTAAATGTCCTACGTACACATTATATATTAAAGTTACAAATATTTCTAAATAACATAAGAAAAAATTAAAAGACTCTTTATATAATATTTTAAAGCATTTATCTAATGTGTAAATTCTTTATAATGAAGTTAATAATATATTATTATTATGATAAAATCAATAATTGAAACTAACTTCGTGTTCCAACGTTTTACTAGCCGCCATCTTGTTTCATGTAACGGCAAATAACCGACCGTAAGCCTTTGTTCAATTAAAAAAAAACTCATTCATATTATGTCATTCAGGCATTTTAAACATAGCCATATTGAGTTTAAAAATACGTTTTTAACGTTTATAAAATGAACACTAAATAAAACTCAGTTTTACACTCTTATCTATTAGTTATTATATATTTTATTAACTTTACACAAACTTTATCACGTAGATTATAAATCTAATCGGATATGATAAAACATAATTTATTGTAATAATATAGTATAAGCTCTACATAGAATATTTTCGTAATTTATAGTGTTTTATTTTATAATGAAAAAAAACTTACTTTTTTATTAGTAGGTACTAGTGCACTCCCAGAGGTTGAAATTCGACCATCATAATTGAAAATTTGATGAAAACATAAAATGTACATTATATATGAATTATGAATAAAATTACATGTATACATAATATAAATTATAATAAAATTGTAACTAAGCCGAACCTGTACATTAAATATTTTTTGGAAAATCTTATTGAAATAAACATTATTATCGATACAGAGACCGAATCTATAGATTTTAGAATTTTTGTCTGTCTGTCTGTTACCGCATCACAGAAAAACCACAGGAGGGATTTTGATGAAATTTGGTATGGTGATAGCTGGTTATTCGGGTCAACATATAGGATACTTTTTACCGCGGGGAAATATCTCATTTCTGAGAAAAAATATAAAAACTGCAATGTAAGAGTATACTAATATGTAAAACCTAAGAAATTGGTTGTTGGTCATCTGAACGCGGTCGGAGCCGCGGGCAATGCTAGTCCATATATTAAATTTAAAAAAAAAAAACAACTTTTTCCAAAATGTTTTTTAGATAACATTAAAGCTCGTCAAGTTGACAAAGAGATAAAAAAGGTTCTAAACTAGTTTTGTCTTTGCCTATTTACTTTTACCTATATAAGATATTTATAATTAAATAATAAGTATTAAATCAACATATAGGATACTTTTTATTGCGGGAAAATGTCTCATCCCTGAGAAATCGATACTAAAAGTTAAAACGTAATAAATATATAGATAATTTATAAATGAATAAAATACGCAAGCAGTTTCTAAAAAAAATATATGGCAATGGTTAACACTAATGAGCCTTAGGTAATAGTCGTCCTTGACGGCCGTTTGATGTTATTTGTTTTGTAACATGCCTACTAACAATTTTCATTCGTATTTATTTCTTAAAGTTAACTTAAAATATTTCGTATAATTTGCGTTTTAACTTTCTAATAACTAAATTAATCTATACTAATATTATGAAGTGGTAAAGTTTGTGAGGTTGTAGGGGGTAATCTCTGGATCTACTGAACCGATATAGTTGAAATTTGGTTAGAAAATAGTTTGAGACCCTGAGTAGGACATAGGATACTTTTTATCCCGGAAATCAACCCTTAAGGATGTGAAAATGGGGATGAAAGCTTGTATTGGGAAGCAAGCTATGGACGAACCCGAGCGAAGCGAAGGTGATTGGCTAGTTAGTTACCTTTTATATTAATATTGCTTCTTCTTTCTAATAACGTAATTAATTATCTTATAATTAGCCTTAATTAATAATTAAAAGTAGTATTCGATCATAATCATTGTACAAAATAAAATCGGTCAAGTGGGAGTCGACTTCGCACACGAAGGGTTCCGTACCATCGTATATTATGTACTTTTATTAATACAACTTTTACTCTGTTGTAGTATATTAACTTCAATGATTGATAACGAAAGTAAAAAAAATTTTTCTTGTATTTTTATTTTCTCATTTTCATTTATTTTTATTATTTGTTTTTATATCGGCAATGGAAATATATACTCTGTGAAAATTTCAACACTCTACCTATGACGGTTCATGAGATACAGCCCTCTAACCGACGGACGGACAGCGGAGGCACACTTCGGGTACGAAACCCCAAGAACGGTTTCCAAATTTTTTTATTGATACTAGTAAAGCTCTTTGTCGATTTTTATTATACTAGCAGTATCCGCGGCTTCGCCCGCGTCCAAACTTACGATCGCTGCCAAACTACACAGGATCACCCGCTGGCCTAATCTGAATATTACCTGAAAATTTCATCAAAATCGCTCCAGTCGTTTTGAAGTTCATAGGCAACATACATGCACACATCGACTTTTACATATCTAGATATTATGTTTTTTGTGACTAGTGTCACTACTTACTATATATATTAAACAAGGGATTTTTAAGTTATATGAGAGAGATGCAACACTCTAGAAATTACCCATTGCATGTGAAACCGCGTTTTTTATCTAGTTTACTACGCAAATTTGTCAAATATATGTTTGGCACTAATAAATAACATCTATATAATCAAATTCTGACTTAGTCAAATCTGTACATAAATATTTTTTGGAAAATCTTATGGAAATAAACATTATTATCGATACAGAGGCCGAATCTATAGTTTTTAGAATTTTTGTCTGTCTGTCTGTTACCGCATCACGGAAAAACCACTGGACCGATTTTGATATAATTTGGTATGATGATAGCTGGTTATCCGAGTCAACATATAGGATGCTTTTTACCGCGGAAAAATATCTCATTTCTGAGAAAAAATACCACAATTGCAATGTAAGTATACTAATATGTAAAACCTAAGAATTTGGTTTTTGGTCATCTGAACGCGGGCGGAGCTGCAGGCAATGCTAGTGTTACAATATAATTTACAAAAGATAAAAATACAACACTCGGCAATACTTCTTTCTTTTTAATAAGCATGAAAAACGTTTCTAAAAATAGCACATATGACGGTAATTGTACCATACACCCAGTTACGATGCAACCTGTAAATCGAATTTAATGATGTAGTTATTACAATTTTGCCTTATTTTGATTGCAATCTTTATGATATTTAAATTGGACTAGTGATTTGCCCTGGCTTCGTTTGAATGCGCGCTTAAGTGCGTTTTGTGATTGCTATATAAATTAAAAAATTTAAAGAACCCTCATTTAGGATAGGTACAGATATTTTCGAAGTCGGTGCTAGCCTATAGTATTCTAAGATCATATCGAAATGTATTAGATTGGCTTTGCATCGGCTGGCACCGACTTCGAAAATATCTGATTATGTATCTATTTTAAATGAAAACCTCCGTTTAGTTATTTTTTACATTTTAGTGCCTGGAAGTCGGTTTTTATTTTTTTGTTAAAAAGTTTTTATTAATAATTAATTTTATGTTAGTTTATAATTAATTATATATTATTAATATTATCAAATAAGATATTTCTGGGCTATATAAAATAAAGGTCACTAATTGTGTTGTATTATTAATTATATTTATGCGTTTGCACCTGCATTTTATTCTTTATTTCTTCGGGCATTTCATTTAAATAGCTTTGGCCAATACTTGG